CCCGACCCTCAAACCCCCTACTCCCACATCCTTTAAGACACTGATGCTCTTATCCCCAGACAGTAAAATCCTGGCTCCCTCAAACCCCCTCCCCTCCCCAATACCTGACCCCACCCTCCCTACCAATGCTGAACTCTGACAGTTAAGTTACAATCAGATATGTTTTTCATCAAGAGAAGGCTAGTACACTGGACTGAATCGGACCAATGCTGAGAGCAGCAGTACTTTTAAAGGCATAAAACAAAAGCGGCACAACACACTGGTCAGAAAAAACAGCTCACATGAAACAAATATATCTGACAAGTACACACCAACGTCAAGTTTCTCCAGCCGTTACACCAGAGAGAAAATCACTAATACACGTCATTGTAAAAACATGCCATTGAAAAACAAAACAAAAAGTGATATTGTAATATTTTTCTGCATAACCTTTCAAAAAATTCCAATGAATATTTTATTTAACCATTGGATGTGCTTGTTCGGAAGGGCGTGTACAAAGGCAGTATATATGTATATATAGTCCGGCACGAAACAGTACGTACCACACAGTGATAAAATGTAATGATATTCAACCAGTGCAGTGGATGATAAAATATTAACATGACAAAATGAAGTTTAATACACAAAATTCATACTTTTATGCATCTCAATACTGATATATATATAGATATAAATATTTGTATATGTATAAACACTTGACTCCTAAATGGGAGTTTTTATGTACAAACAGCAGTTTGACCCCGACTGATTCGAATATAAACTAAGTTTTAAGTACAAACAGCAGTTTGACCCCACTAATTTGAATATAAACTAAGTTTTACGTACAAATAGCAGTTTGACTCCACTAATTTGAATATAAACTAAGTTTTATGTACAAACAGCAGTTTGACCCCACTAATTTGAATATAAACTAAGTTTTATGTATACAAACAGTAGTTTGACCCCACTAATTTGAATACAAACATGCATGTAACTTTTATGTACATACAGCAGTTTGACTCATCTAATTTTAATCTAAACAAGAAATTTATGTACAAAAAGCAGTTTGACTCACTAATTTTAATATAAACACTAAATTTATGTACAAACAGCAGTTTGACCCACTAATTTGAATATAAAAGCTGATTTTTATGTACAGACAGCAGTTTGACCCCCCAATTCGAATATAAACTAAGTTTTATGTACAAACAGTAGTTTGACCCCACTAATTTGAATATAAAAGCTAATTTATGTACAGACAGCAGTTTGACCCCACTAATTTGCATCAGCAGTGTGTTTCACTGCACCATCATTGACATTGACAATAACATCAAAGATTCTCTACCAATACTACCATGTTACAGCATTCAACGTAACATGCTATAAATAACTTTTTACAGACAGCAGGTTTTTCCACTGATTTGGAGCAGCAGTTTTGCATAATGTACAGAATATAATATAATACATAAAAAAAATTTACACTCAACAGTTGCAATAATCATTCTGTACAGATTTGCCAGCTAAAATTTGAATAAATACTTTTTAAAAAATCTGAAAATATCAAAAAGATATTTTACAGAAGACCCTTTTTCAAGGAGAATGTAAATGCTGACTGGTATGTTTTATGCAAAGTTTTTTTTTCCACCACTGGGTTCTACTTTTCGTGCTTTCTGTGTTTACGTTTTTTACATGGAAAAACAAAACTCGCCAAATTCGTAGGAATTTAATCCATGTATGTGCACTGGCCTCTAGACCTATAATCCGTGAAATATAGATCCCGCAAAACTGACCAAGTTTGAAAATCCGTTAAAATTACTGATATTCTTTGTTTTTCCAACCAATTATATTCAATGTCTGAATCTGACTCCTTGATATTTTATTGAGATACCAATAGTAATTTCGTTACAAATTAAGTTTTTAACAGTCATTTCCGTTACGGTCATACTTGTGAGTAATGCTGAGGCAATGTACAGAACTAGTGTGCCCTGCATACTGTTGGGAGTAAATATGTACACATACACTTAATGCATGCTCTGTACACCATACAGGAAAATATATTTACATAATACACTTTTTGTAATAATCGATTCGAGACATTACATGCCCCGTAATTACGGTAGAATTATAAATATCACAGACGCTCTATCAATGGTGATATCCCACTGGACTCGACTCATCGGCAACTAACATGTACATTACAAACAAAATCCAGCAGTAGTGTGTTTCAAGCTAAACCAGCCTCCGTATACCAGACAGAGGTAAATAAACTCCGGAAGAACTACACTTTCCTCACGAGCACTCAGGAACTTGTGGCAGACAATTTTAACACACAGAACTTCTAATCAACAGGTAAACATTGAATGAAAGACTGAGCAAAAATTCAAATAATTCAACAAATTTTCTTTTATAAGCATAATAGAACTATTAACCTTGAAACAGAAGTAAAATGTATAGAGATTTGACCTTGCACGAAATAGATTCAAACCAAAAATCAATCACATATAAATGATTATATGCTTTTCAATAATCTGAAAAATATATTTCATAGCATTAATGGATTAATTAATTGTAATACTGAAAACTTACAACTAGAGCAGAATTTGTCTTACAAGCCAGCAAAAGTGGCCATTCAAGCCTCTCATGTATCTCGAGACAGGTATTACTGTACCTAAAAAGTAGATTGTAAAAAAAATATGCTTAATAAAGATATTCCTGACAAATTGAGCCATGTTATCAGCTTCACAACTCGACAAAACTTCTCAGCATCAGTTGACTAAGGTTTCCATCTGCTTGGACTGTTGGACAACTTTGGGTAGGGAAGGGTTAGAGGTCAACATGGCTGACGACGTTTGAAGGGGATTGACTGAGCGGCGGTACACAGGGTCTGCAGACATTGTGACGCCACTCTGATTGGTGTTTCTGCCTGGAGATCTGAGGATGGATTTGGTCTCGGTGACGGTTGGAGGGGTGGGATCAACATCAAATACTGGTCGAGGTTTCCCGAACCTTTGGTAGTCATCTGGAATACGGAAAAGGTGATTGTCGCGCTCGTCATCCTTCAAGGGATTAATTGTCCGTTTCCATAATTTATTCCGTTCCTTGTATCTGGGACTGAAAAATAAGAAACAGATTTCTGTAAAAAAAAAAATTCTATGAAAAAATCCCCTAAAATTAGGGCTGTATAAAACTTGTTTGGGACAGATGCTGACATTACAGGGTTTCCGAGGTCTTCGATGTTGATAAGACCGTCATGGCGACAAAGCATCGTCATTTGATTTTCAATTTCTATAAATGTTCACAAACAATAAACATTTATAACAAATATATTTACTACTAAGACCAATGGTTATATGTGTTTTTGTATATGTCTACAAAACACTACCAAACTTCGCCAAACTGTACAGAGCTCTACTGTTACGTGATTTGTGATATAGTTCACAGTTCTCTCTGACAGTCTGTCGCATCCTCAATGTTCAGTCTTACTGGAGGGATACTAGATGACCGATGACACAATGTCCAGTCATACTGGTTGGATACTAGATGACCGATTACACAATGTCCAGTCATACTGGTGGGATACTAGATGACTGATCACATAATGTCCAGTCATACTGTTGGGATACTAGATGACCGATTACATAATGTCCAGTCATACTGGTGGGATACTAGATGACCGATTACATAATGTCCAGTCATACTGGTGGGATACTAGATGTCCGATTACACAATGTCCAGTCATACTGTTGGGATACTAGATGACCGACTACATAATGTCCAGTCATACTGTTGGGATACTAGATGACCAATTACACAATGTCCAGTCATACTGTTGGGATACTAGATGACCGATTACACAATGTCCAGTCATACTGTTGGGATACTAGATGACCGATAACATAATGTCCAGTCTTACTGGTGGGATACTAGATGACTGATAACATAATGTCCAGTCTTACTGTTGGGATACTAGATGACCGATTACATAATGTCCAGTCATACTGTTGGGATACTAGGTGATCGATGACACAATGTCCAGTCATACTGTTGGGATACTAGTTGACCGATTACATAATGTCCAGTCATACTATTGGGATACTAGATGACCAATAACATAATGTCCAGTCATACTGGTGGGATACTAGATGACCGATGACATAATGTCAAGTCATACTGGTGGGATACTAGATGACCGATTACATAATGTCAAGTCATACTGGTGGGATACTAGATGACCGATAACATAATGTCCAGTCTTACTGTTGGGATACTAGATGACCTATTACATAATGTCCAGTCATACTGGTGGGATCCTAGATGACCGATTACATAATGTCCAGTCATACTGTTTGGATACTAGATGACCGATTACATAATGTCCAGTCATACTGTTGGGATACTAAATGACCGACTACATAATGTCCAGTCATACTGTTGGGATACTAGATGACCGATGACATAATGTCAAGTCATACTGGTGGGATACTAGATGACCGATGACACAATGTCCAGTCATACTGTTGGGATACTAGATGACCGATGACATAATGTCCAGTCATACTGGTGGGATACTAGATGACTGATGACATAATGTCCAGTCATACTGTTGGGATACTAGATGACCGATTACATAATGTCCAGTCATACTGTTGGGATACTAGATGACCGACTACATAATGTCCAGCCATATTGTTGGGATACTAGATGACCGATTTCATAATGTCCAGTCTTACTGGTGGGATACTAGATGACCGATTACACAATGTCCAGTCATACTGTTGGGATACTAGATGACCGATAACAAAATGTCCAGTCATACTGTTGGGATACTAGATGCCTGATTACATAATGTCCAGTCATACTGGTGGGATACTAGATGACCAATAACATAATGTCCAGTCATACTGGTGGGATACTAGATGACTGATAACATAATGTCCAGTCTTACTGTTGGGATACTAGATGATCGATGACACAATGTCCAGTCATACTGTTGGGATACTAGATGACCGATTACATAATGTCCAGTCATACTGTTGGGATACTAGATGACCGATTACAGAATGTCCAGTCATACTGGTGATATACTAGATGATCGATGACACAATGTCCAGTCTTAACAGGTAATAATCAGAGACATGACAGAAAAGGTTAAAATCTTCTACTTACTTAAAATCAAAGCCCTTTCTATCCATGAATAGGTCGTGTTCATAATCGTAGGCTGGTATTTTGTTCCTCTCCAGGTTCCAGCTTTGTGCCTCAAAGGGACCTGGTTTGAACCCCTTGATTTTCTCGTAGCCCTCTCCCTCGACTGCAGGGTGAGTGGGAAGTCCCATCAGTCTTGCCTCTATGTCTACACTAGGGTTGAGTACCACGTTCAATGGTGGTACGTTCCTGAGACGCAGGCCTGATCTGCGGAGAGACAGTTTCTCGGGATTGTCCTTCAGTAATCCTTGTAGCTTATCAACCTGGTTCTGACCCTTGTCGTTGAGTTCGGTCTCCATGAGGCAGCGATGGAAGTACTGTCGAGTATCGTCAACCACCTGCTTTGACCGCCACTTTTCAAAATCTTTCCGTAAGTCATCTAGACGTTCCTTCTTCAGTTTCTGGCCAGCCAGATGGATGGTGACAGGCTCATCTCCAAACAAATGTTTAGGTCGGCGGTACAGTTCCATGTCCAACTGACGCGCATCCCAGGGAAAGCAGTCACGCTCCAACGGAGGCTGTAGCATGCCCACATGCAGGATATTCTCTCTCCACGGCTACAAACACAACAGGACTAGATTATTACCATTTTCTTTACAGTTCCTAACACTTCATGATTATCGTAACAAAAGTATAAAATTATTTCAATCTTTTCATCCAAAATCATTCTGAAAATTGACTACACCAGTTTCAACATATTAACAAAAATTGTTAAAGATATAAAACCACTGAATCAGTTATCTAAGTCCGTGATATAACATAATAACATATGTATATTTATCATTTTAAAATTTGATCCAATTTACAAATTATAAAAAATATGACCAAACATAAATTCAATCTAAATACCAAAACCTTTCATTGACAAAAATAGCAATTAAATGGTTATGGTTATTTTCAAATCATTAAATTGTATAAATTTCGTTAATAAAAATAAATGAATCTTTTTTTAAATCATTCCGGATTTTGACAAGTGCTTCCATCATTGCTGCAAAGGAGGCACTATCTGACCTAGGTAAAGGTGATCCGTTTATAATGTAAAAGAGGCAAATATTGGATATACCGGGTACATATATATAAAAAAAAAAAAAAAGAGAAATATATAAACACTGGTAGGTAAAGGATATCTAACTGACACTACTGGGGATAATCTACAGAGGGATAGTGGTAAACTAAATAATCTCATCATATAAATCACATACACATGTTATTTATTGAAAATCTAAAACGTTGACGACAAGCTTTGTTTTTAATAATAGAAGTGATTTTGGATGGACAAGTATCTTAAAAGCCTGTTATATGCCCAAGAATTTGCAAATCTCAAGTACATGTACTAAACTTTTGGAGAGAAAAAAAAGGAAAAAAAAAAGAAAATTTATAGAAAATACAAAATGAAATTCTGTTTTCTTGATAGTGACTTATATTTGGTGATTTTGAAAACTAAATGAAATACTTTTGTAAACCCATCATGACGTTTGCTCTGCTGCATATTGTCATAAAAAAAGAAAAATACAAGTTTCCCTCTCAGTCTATTTAAGATACTAGATGGGTATACATTGTGGGATGGGATCATGCAGAGGATTAAGAGACAGATATTCCTTCACAGGCACCTGGTAGGTAGCAGTGTTCTACTGTGATCCACAACAGTACCACTACCCTATTGCAGTAACATACGTCCTTAACTCCGAATCTCTGAACATTTGAATTTTTTTAACACAGAAAAAAAAATATGTTTGGGTGAGCAAAAAATAACATTAATTTCAACTTACGACAGTTCAGTGGCATTTAATTGCATGAAAAAATATTTCTACCAAGTTCTGGTACATGATTGAAGTATAAGATCAATTAACACATGATATTAGTGTGACTAGGATTGATTACTCTTAAACATGCATTTTTTTATATCAAACTGTCAATTATTGTTGATAAGTATCAAAACACATTAAAACGGTAGTACATATAGTTACCTAAAACCATGGCCATTTTATAGCCATTAAGTGTCATTTTTAGTCCAATTACTTTCTGCTATCTGTGTAGGTTGCTTATGATAATGTTGATATGTGATTATTTGGCACCAGGTACATCAATTTCATTAAACTTTTTGTTGTTATATAGTTTTGTTTGAGGCAAAAAAAAGGAAAATATGAATATCTCAAAAAACGAATTCTAATAGAAGTTTGAGAGTGTGAAGGAAAGGAAAATTACACTGTTTTCCATTTTGTGAAAATTTGTCAAAATTCATCAAAACTGGAAAAAAAAGAAATAAGTTGAAAATTTAGATCCAAGCTGAAAGACCTTATATTTATGATCTATATCAAAATCGACCTCAGTTGAATCAAAGACAAAATCCCAGAGTTATGTCCCCTTATTTCTATTTTTTGGGGATAAATTTGGTCTTTTTCTATCAAACATTTTACATCAAACACATCAACAGCTAGCTGTCCATGTGGTAATACATCAATGAAAAAAATCCCAGCTTTATCAGAAGCAACCTGCACCGATTATATTCTTGCTTTGATGTACTGCAGGATGAAGAACTCAAACCTAACGAGTACCGCCAGCCAAGAAAATACTTTCACAAAACTGATTTTCTGTAAGACCTGTTAGGGTGGTTGGGTGGCGCAGTGGATAGCACACTTGCCTTTCACCAAGGCAACCAGGGTTTAATTGATTCCCCGATCGGACGTGAAAAGGTTTGGGGTCACCTGCCCGACCATGTAGGTTTATCTGCGGGTACTCCGGTTTCCTCCCACACTAAGACCCCCCCACCCTCCTGCGGGCTAACATCCGGGCCAACAAGAGTGATTAATATCAGTTGAAATAACTTGTTTCATAATTGTTGTAAAATAAATAAAGTTTATATATGAAAGACCTGAAGGCCCCCCCCCCCCCCCCCCCCCATGTCAATGCAAAGTTTGGTCAAAATCTGTCTAGCAACTTTTTTTTTCTCTAGAGTAATGACACTGAAATGGTTGGCCTACACATATTCCTACATGTATTTTCATATTTGAATTTTATATAAATTTTGACAAATATCTGTTCAGTAATAATGCCTGGGGAATGATAGTTATCAAACTGGTCAACAAATTTCTATCAACAGTACTAGTAGTGGTGACCTTGACCTTGGAACTCTTTAATACAAGCACATGCAAAGTATTCTCATACTTGACCTTTGTATAAAGTTTGATTGAAATCTGTTAAGAAATAAGTTTGTCAAGCGACGACTCCGAGTCGGAAATGGACATAATAAGATAGGCATGGGTATAATGCTATACCCTCCCCCATTTTAAAGTGATGGGGCATCAAAGATATGACATACGTTTCACAAGGAAGATACACTTTTCATCAAAAGAAAGAGTAATAATTTGTTGATTAATCCACAAACATGGTAAATTTGTTGAGTTTATATTGCACATGCTGATGCGAGTTTTAGAGCAAATCCTAGCGTAAGATTTGTGGCAATTTAGTTCTGGGGTGAGTTGGGCCAATATTTGGGAACTACACGTACACAACCATGTTTTTATCCGTATGTTCAACAAACAGTTGTAAATAGTACAGACTTAACGTCTCGTGGAACAATGGTTGGTAGAATATCACATTGATATTTATAATAAATGACATTTAAAGCTAAGTTTACCTGACACTGGTTTTCATTAATTCATTCACACCTGAAGACACATTTGAACTCTTCCAACTCAAAAGTTGGAATAGTTCATTATGGAATTTCAGGGGTGAATGAGTTAAACCAATCTATCGGACAATGCTGAAATCCCCATATGACACAGTACATACTGTAAACATACATGTACTGTAGTAGCAAAGGACTAGGGGCGTTGAGGGTCATTTGTGCCCTTATCGGGGATTTTCTATTAGTTATGTTTGTAATCTTGAACAAGAGGCCCAATGGGCCTGCATCGCTCACCTGTTATTAATCTAACACTTGTAATCTTAAGATTTCATAAGAACCTATTAAAAGATTTAAACATATGATGCCTCTGACCTTGATTGTTGAACAAGGACATTAGGTTGAAAGTGAATCAAGGTCATTCAGTTGAACAAACTTGATAGTCCTTCATCCCAGCATGCTACAGGCCCAATATCAGTACCCTGGGCCTTTTGGTTATTGAGAAGAAGTTGCTTGAAGATTTTACAACATTTGACCCCTATGACCTCGAAAGCTGGTCAAGGTCATTCATTTGAATAAACTTGATAGTCCTTTATCCCAGCATGATAAAGGCCCAATATCAGTACCCTGGGCTTTTTGGTTATTGAGAAGAAGTTGTTTGAAGATTTTAACATATTTTACCCCTGTGACCTTGAAAGTGGGTCAAGGACATTCATTTGAACAAACTTGGTAGCCCTTCATCCCAGCATGCTACAGGCCCTATATCAGTACCCTGGGCCTTTGGGTTATTGAGAAGAAGTTGTTTGAAGATTTTAAAGACATCTGACACCAGTGACCTTGAAAGTGGGTCAAGGTCATTTATATGAACAAACTTGGTAGCCCTTGATCCCAGCATGCTACTGGCCAAATATCATCTTCCTAGGCCATTTGGTTATTGAGAAGAAGTCGTTTGAAGATTTTACGACATTAGACCCCTGTGACCTTGAAAGTGGGTCAAGGTCATTTATATGAACAAACTTGGTAGCCCTTCATCCCAGCATGCTACAGGCCCCATATCAGTACCCTGGGCCTTTGGGTTATTGAGAAGAAGTTGTTTAAAGCAAAAAATTGACGCCGGACAGACGGACGACGGACGGACGGACGGACGACGGATGCCGCACCATAACATAAGCTCACTTGCCCTTCGGGCAGGTGAGCTAATAAATGAAGTCCGCAAATACGAAATTTCAAATTCAATCGACAACTTGTATAGGAGATATGGCATTACAAAGAGAGACATAAACCCGCATTTTCATAATAAAATGTGTGAATATTGTCTTTTGTACGCTATTTGGTTGAAAATTGAAGGAAATTAACTAAAAAATATTAAATTTTTGAAAGCCTACGCATGCAACAAACAAAGAAATATTTGACATGCTTTAGTATTGTCATACAGGTGTTATTCGTAGAAAGGAAGTTTTGTCTGTTACATGCGGTGGCTTTCATTTCTGCATGCTAACTGTCCAAAACCATCACATTTTGACTATCTCTGCATAGCAATGTTATTTTGTTGCTATGGTAGGACATCTACGCATGTACGTTGAAAAAAATCTGCACCAAGAAAGACAGCCCCAATTATACCAATATGATGTTTATATCAAAAATAGGTAAATAAATTCAAGTTGAAATTTTTACTTCTTATGAGGCCAAAAATTACACTTGATGCCCCAAGTCCTTTTTGTGGATCATCACTTCTAGATTTATAGAAGAAAACAATGAGGATAAATTTAAATCAATTTGTAACGGCACAAACTGAAACAAAATGTCAGCAAACATATATAACTGCCCTGTTTGGAAATGAGCGGCAAACAATTAAGGTCTTCTCTGCAGACAGTAATCAGATCTTCGGGATATGTACAGACAAAAATCTCCCTCTTTGGAGGTATCTAAGGTTTGGAGATGTCTTCATGCAGACAAAGATGTCCCCCTCGGTCAAGGTATGAAAGTTTTGAAGATGTATTTGAAGCATTCACCATCCTCGGTTGTTTCAAAATAAGACAACTAGGGGGACCACTTGTTCAAAACATATTTAAAAAAATAAACCATACTATACTATTTTTTAAAATGTCTAGTGCACATATGTGATCATCTAATCTAACACTACATGTGGTTTTTGTAACGATAATATTTATATGTTTTCAAATATATCCCAAAATTACAGTAATTTGTCAATCATTATAAAGCTTAGCATGCTCTGAACAGTTTTGCCGAACACCAGCTAAAAATTGGCAAGTTACCGCTAAAATGATCATGTTTACAGTGAATTTATTTACCTAACATTAAGCCTATTCTAAACACAGCCTTATTCTTAATGAACCTGGATGGTAAACATAGGAGGGGGGGAAGCAATGTTTATATTATATAAAATTATGAAATTAAAATTAAAGAATTAGAAGCCTGTATGTGTGGCATACTGTCCACATCTCTAGTATATATTGCTGTTGTTCTGTTAACTACATTTACGTACAGTATATTATTTACCCATATAACATGAATTTGAACCTTCTGTAATAAACAATGCACATCAACATGTCAACAAAACTCATCGTATACATCACAGAAAAACATGTACATTTCAGTACCACATCACATCAACCATTTATATATAACAATCACATTCATACAATACGATACAATATGAAATTCTGTAAAGGGTTTAATTTATGGGGCTCTAATATCTGAGATTTTCAAAGTAAGAATTTGTCCACGAAAAAGGTACAACACATGAAATAAACACAGAAACATGAAAGTACAGGTATGTGCTATAGACACTCGACCTGAAATCTGCAAAATATAGATCCCGCAAATATGAAAAATTTGGCAAATGAGCAAAAATTAGGGACCATGAAATTGATGACTTTTTTTTAGTAACTACACATGTCATAATATATTAACAATGCTATTTTAAAAAAAATATGTAACTGTACATGATGATATTCAAATAGAGGCAAATTCAAAAAACTGGATTTCTTCTAAATAGGATCTTAGATTATATAGGGAGTATTCCCTTCACCAGTACATGCATCATGAGGATATCAGGCTCTAGGTGGGATGAATGTAAAATGTTTTATGCACCAACCAATTAACCTATATAATGTCATGCTTTGGACCAAACTACACAAATCACGATTACTCAATTTTGAAATTACGAGTAAGGAGATTCTGAAATTAAACTCTCTGTCCATCAAAACTATCATGTACAGCTATAAATGGATATTTATTTAATATATATATATCTTGGTGTATGATGTCTTCTCCCCCAGGAGATCAACAATGTATGAGTATTTGCCTACGACATACCTCCGTCAGCTCCTCGACCCTGGCAGTGTTCGGACGCCCCGGGTGTACATTACATTCCTGCATTGTCTTCATGCCAGGGTAGATCCATCCCGAATCTGTTTTCCAGCGCGCCTTGGCCTCCTCCTGGGCCTGCTTCTTCAAAGCCTCCACGTTGACTGGGACAACAGTCATAGAATGGTGATAGTCCTGGCAATAAGTGTACCGCGTGTCAGGGTGCTACAACACAATTAACCAGGGCTCAGGTACAGTGGTTAGTGAAAATATAGGTAGGGTCTACCAAAGGGGTTAAATATATACGGTAGTCGACAGGGAACAACTTGATATACTTCTTATAATACTTAGAATGTAAAACCAAGCTGAAATAATGTTTGTCGGTACTTTGAGGACTTTCTTTGTTTTTGAGAGTTCCTTTAGCTACAAGTTTGACATTACGGTAGGCAGACAATATTTCTCCCTGTTCTTAAGTGTGTTTCGAAAATCCTTTTCATTCTCATGACCTCTGATGAATCGTTTTGAGAGAGGACACAGTCCTTGAGGTCTTGCACCTCCAGTAATCTAAGACAAACTAGTATGGCACAGAACTATGTCTATTAGAACTTCAACTCTCATTGACTTGTGAACAGTTAAAAGCGATAATATATTCTCCCTAATTAGACAGAGAAATCCACACTGGCAGAGAAAGATATTGCTGTCTTACCCTAGGGTAAAGGGGGGTGNGGGGGGGGGGATGGACTCCCCTGCCATAAAAATTGCATGACCTCACGTCAACATTGAACTCTGTATTTACTCGAAATTATGAAATCTTTACATTGCATGAAAATACTCTCAAATATCTACTCTCAGGAATTCTTAAAAGTCTGGCCTTCAACAAAGCCTCGGGCTGGACGTTTAAGAATCTTACTCTGTGGATTGAGATTTTTTTTTCGTCTTTCCCTCAAGGTGGGGGAAAGATTAAATTAGTCTACTGAATCCCCGTCTTACCTCAGCCAGCATCTGCCGGAGCTTCTCCTTGGCCAGCTCTGTAGAGTTGAGCGTTTGAGAACTGTAGTTGTGAGCAACGTTTACGTCGGCATGGATCGTCGGGACTTTGTTCATCTCTTTTTCCTTCTTATTTATCTCACTAGCATTTCTGATGTCTTCCTGTTATTATAGAAACATCACACTACTTAGCTTGATCCTGTCACAATCAACACACAAAACTAGAAATTAAATCAAATTGTAGTATTATTCTCGACTGTATTTTTAAAAAATGATAACTGAAATTGACTGCAGTTATTTTCAAAGCAAACAGTGGTGATAATTTTTTGCATACCAAAATTAAGCAAATACAAAATTGATAGGTAGGCTTATTTTTTATACACCTTTAACAAAAGTATATGTAGCAAAACATGCTACAATTCTGGACTCTTTCCATCCATGACATAGTAAATTTTACAATGAAAAACTTTATATCATCACAACAATGTCCACAAATATTTGCGAACAACGGTTTGCCGTTATCTTCTTCCCCTTAGTGAGTATCATAACCTTATTTTTTGCGCATAAATTTGTGTTTTCATTTATGTGTTGGGGAGTTGAAAATCTTTACCATATTTTTATGAATGAATTTTAATTTTAATTTTTCGTCGTCGTCGTTGTTGTTGGTTAATCGAGTATTTACCTTATTTTCATATATGAAGTTGTGTTGTTGTTCGCGAGCCACAAGACGCTCCACATACTCCTTGTTGTAATGGTCTATTGGCGTCCATAGTCGACTAGTCTCCCTGATAAAGGAATCGTAGTGCGTGACTTGCACCTCTGTCTCCTGTTGTTTCTCCTCCTCCGGCTGAAGTTCTGAAAATTTTCACACAAGAAACATCTTACTGCACATAAATATACATTACACTTTGTGGGAAATTATCGGCTTTTGTCACATGTATATAATGGCCTTTAAAACATTTGAAGAATTGACGTTACAAAACCGTAGACATACTTGGTGATACGGGATCAGATTTTACGTGTGATGATCGAGCGCAGATCTTACATACCAAACTATCCACCACTTAGTTTTAATATCATTGGAGCTTTTTATTTTTCGTGACAGAATCTATATTTACTGTACAAAGGGTGAATTAACATCTGTCATCCGTAATAACAGCACAGCCATCATAACATGGACAGTTAATTCACAGATTACTGTACAAATTATTTCCGCTGTGAAAAGTAAAATTTATACCTGGTATGATCAAATATGGATTCTACCATAAAAAAATTCTCTCCAAATACAGCAATCAAAATTAAACATGACTTTTACGGTAGAAAATCACAGCAAGTGTCACAGGGGAACTGGATTTGAAGATAGAACCGAACTAGATTGTTGACTGTGTTTCCTCATTTTGCCACACAAAATTGTTAACTGGCCCTGTTCTTTATTTTTCCTTCCTGTCCATTTTGTTTTTGATCTTAACTTAAAATTTACCAAAAAGATAATCAGCTGTTTAATATCTTAAACCAAAATCTGACATCACACGATCAATGAAAGAATACAATGAAGTGAGATCTGTATTGAGTCGGGAGCCTATTATAGACATCATATCTAATGATTTGCCCTGGTGTGGGAACCTACCTTCAAAGTCTGCCTGGGTGAGGGGCACACCAAAGTCCTTACTCATGGGAGTTTGGGACGTATTACAGACATATTGTATATATATGGTGACTCATCCTGGTGTGGGAACCTACCTTCAAAGTCTGCCTGGGTGAGGGGCACACCAAATTCCTTACTCATCGAGATGACCATGTCTGCTTTAGGGAACAGATCATTTCTCACAACACTCCTCATCTGGTCCAACTTGGTCAACTGCAAAACATAGGGTTCAAGCTTGTAACTTTATTCTATAGAACTGTAGGTCAAGGTCATGATTCCAATCTGTACTGCCAGTCAAGGTCATGATTCCAATCTATACTGCCAGTCAAGGTCATGATTCTAATCTATACTGCCAGTCAAGGTTATGATTCCAATCTATACTGCAAGTCAAGGTCATGAATCTTTTTTATGTTATGAAGGTCAATGTTATCAAATTTATCTATATTATAGGTCAAGGTTGTTTAATCGAAAAATTGTAGGTCAGGGTTTAAAATGTATTCTACAATAATGTAGGTCAACATTGTCAATTTCATTTATATATGTCAAGGTTGTCAACAGAAGGGAGATTAGCTATTCATATTGTAAATATTACAGCACATCTGTTTTAGTCAATATAAGTACATGTCAAAACTTGTATGAAAACTCTAATGCAGACAATTATTTATCTTTATCTTAGACTGAGGATCTTTGAACATTACCATGAGTACCGAGCTGTCAAGATGTGTTTGTTACTGGGGTCTCACCTCGTAGATCCTGATGAGGGCCTCAAAACAGGCCTTTGGGACCATGTCCCTCACATATAGAAGAGGCTGCTGGATTATCTGGGTCAGAGACTCGTGTAGCTTGACTCGACACAGGTCAACATCTAAGGGCCCGTACAGGCGCTCACTGAAGTTCATGTCAGAATTGTACAGCACTTTCACATCTGAGAAAACAAACAAAAAGATTTATTTAAATGAATAATAAACACATATAAATGTTCATAAACTAAAATTGTTGTCTTTATATACCATAATATCAACTATTCTATGTATATAAAGTATCAGTCAAATACCTGTCTACAATGAAACTGCAACTGCAATACATTGTATAAGCCTTAAATAATTCATTATTTACAAGAAATATTGACCCAAGCACAGGAAAGGTGTTCAACCTACTGTTTCCCACATAAGTACTGATATTTCATTTGTCCAGATCACAATTTAGCTTAAATCCTTTTAAGATAGTTTGCTAACTTCTCTTTCCTTATTTTAACCTTATTTGACCATGTCACTGACCTGACTTGACACTGTCATTGACCTGACTTGACCCTGTCACTAACCTGACTTGACACTGTCATTGACCTGACTTGACTAGACCCTGTCCTTATTTGACCCAGTCACTGTCCTGACATGACTAGACCCTGCCACTAATACTGACCTGACTTGACCCTGTCACTGACCTGACTTGACCCTGTCACTGACCTGACTTGACCCTGCCACTGACCTGACATGACCCTGTCACTGACCTGACTTGACCCTGTCACTGACCTGAATTGACCCTGTCACTGACCTGACCCTGCCACTGACCTGACATGACCTGACCCTGCCACTGTCCTGACTTGACCCTGTAACTGACCTGACCCTGCCACTGTCCTGACTTGACCCTGTCACTGACCTGACCCTGCCACTGTCCTGACTTGACCCTGTCACTGAGCTGACCCTGCCACTGTCCTGACTTGACCCTGTCACTGCCCTGACCCTGCCACTGACCTGACATGACCTGACCCTGCCACTGACCTGACCCTGCCACTGACCTGACCCTGTCACTGACCTGACTTGACCCAGCTGTCACTGACCTGACCCTGCCACTGACCTGACATGACCTGACCCTGCCACTGACCTGACATGACCTGACCCTTTCCTTATTTAGCCTTTCACTCACCTGATTTCTCCTGTTTTGGTAGTAAGTTCCACAGTGTCTTGATGGCACGATTATGAAGCCCTTCTAACATGAACAGATGCATCACACTATCCATCACCTGAAACCCTGTTATAATGTTCAGCGTCCTGCTCTGTTGCTGTTCCCTGGTGACAGAACATCAAATAATACAATTATACCTTATCTTTATAACAGTGTGTTTGGTTAGATGATATTGGTCACATGACGGCGCAATAAAACATCATGTCGTCCTCATGCACTCAAGTTTCCCCGATCGTATTTCCGTTATTCAGAGGCTTTCTAGAAAAATCGCTAAGAGCCATCACAACCTAGATCTGAATGAGGGAAGCAGATGACAACAACGGCGCGTCAATCTTATCATCTCTACTATTGTGTAAAAAAAAAAAAACTTTTTTTAGTTATTGCACTTGCAGTAGGAAATCGTGATTCTTTGTTTCTCCTTGATTAGTCATGTTTCACTTAGGTTTCGCCCTCATGGACAAAATTAACCTCGGAGAAACAAAAAAAATGTATTTCCCTATAGTGAGGGCGACAAATATATCATAATACCCAGCCAGCTAGCCCTTAACCTGGTACCGTAGCTACTACTGGCCTCAGCATCATGAAAGAGTTCAAACTCGAACAATGTTTATTATTACAAATCTTCATAAAAAAAAGATCATTTTACATATATGTACATTACATATTCAGATGTAAATATGGAAGAATTCACCCAAATAAGAGTAACTTCCAAGAAAAAAACTTGTTTTATTTACATTTTAAATTTGGATTCAGGTCTAAAGCTGTTTTATGATCCAAGGAACCAGAAGCTTTTCCAAAAGTTTAAATTCATTTCTATTAATCATGATGCTGTTTTGTTTGTTGATATTTATCAATAATAAATATTTAAGAAAATGTAAATACTTACATAGACAGCTTGTAGGTGGACAGTGCAGCATTGATGACGTGTTGTGGCATATCGTCCAGCTCCAGAGCTTCGGCGTTGACGTCGGTAACTAGGTTCTGTAGCTGATGGAGCAGGGTCGTGTTCTTGTAGTCAAATATAAACACAATTCTCCCGAACGGACACTACAAACAAATAGATTACACCGTAAGTAGAAAATATTTACCTCATCACAAAATGACCAAGATATTGCAGAATATGGAATACCTACAAGCTGTTTAATGGTAGGATATATTTAATAGAAATAATAGTACATTTTCAGATATATGACTTGTGATATTTACCTCCCTGGTGGACTCAATGGGTTTACCGTCAGCCACCTTGTCCGGAGTGGTCAGCGGATGGGCCAGCTCCACCTTAATCTTCATCATGGTATTAGAACTGACATAGTGACCGCCAGATATGGGCCTGTCCACTGCAAGTATCATACATAGTTACGTCAATTTCATTACAGCAGCTAGGTCAATTTCACTTATGAAACTGAACAGCAGTGTATACCAAAATAAATTTCTCATTTTATATACAGAAGATTTCATCCAATTAAATATCAACTAAAAATACATTTCTTACAAAACATTCATGTTCAGATTGGAACGAAACATGTCTCCCCATTTCAGCCAATATCCATACTTTGACAAGTTAAACCTAGAAATGAATATCCCAGTGACCAGATTATAGTGTGATGCAAAACTTATTTTGGTGAACCAGGTGTTACAAGTTTCATAAAAACATCTTCAATGATTTAAAATATGCGAAGCAGACAAGATTTCACTTTAAATTTTCAAGTTACATTGTATTTCAAGTTTCATCAAGTCAACTTTTACAGTTTGAAAGTTACAGCCTGAAATGATCATATCATCAACAGAAGAAGAACCAGTGCTACTAAAATATGTCACTGTTCATTCGAGAAGTGGGGAGGATATGAAAATGAGATCCACATGTAAACGTTTGTATACCTGGTCCATCGACAGCCCCTGGGAAGCCCACCAGCTTTCCATCACTGCCCTCCGCGGAGCCAAGGACCTCAGGGGTGCCACAACTGTGAAGTGGTACCTTGATGTGAAGGTATTTGTGGCCCAGAAGGAGCTCAGACAGGTCGACCTTGGCTGTACCATACGGGTCCCATGGTTTGTTTCTCCCCGTGAATGGGTTGTGTAGGGTCCTCCGACCTGTCAATCATAGTCAAGGTCAAGGTTACAGATAACAAAGAATGATACAAAGGTCACATCTGTGAAACTAACACACTTAGTATATAGTACAGATGCAAAATGAAAAGGAGCAAAAATCTATATTCCCATTATTTAGTGAGAAAAAGTTTGAAAGCCACGGGTTTTACCAAATTTGAAAAACCCTCGGGTGGAATTTCCCTATCCTACACCCCTGGGCATGACAGTGTCAAGTAATGTCAGTGACAGGATCAAATAAGGTCAATTTTTCATTGAGAAACATTTCTGGAATTGAAAAAAAAATTCAATTCAAGGAAATTTTACTCAACTTCAGCAATGTCTTCAGATAGGAAAACTTCAGTTAAAGAATTTAAGTGAAGGATTGTTTGTGAAACTGGAAACTTCCCCTGACTTACTTGTGATGGTGCCAACATTGCTGATCTTCTCATCTTCCAAATCATCTCCAAACAGAGTGGGTTTGAGGTTGACGTCCTCCTCCCGGCGATCTCGATCATGTACCTCGATCTCCAGAGGGGGTCCGTTGAGATATTGACGAAGCTCAGACGGATCTAGGGTACCTGGGGGAAAAAAGAGAGTAAACAATTCATGTTGTTTTGCAAAAAGTAAAAAAAAACACTTCAGCCCAAAGTATTTTTTGTTTCATAATTTCCTAAGCTTTTCTTTGGTACCCGATTTTTTTTAATCCCCAAATGCAGAGTTCTACTATGATTGAAGAACAGCTTATAACGGAGAATTGTAGTTACTCCTGTCACAGAACCATCAATGCTAGGGCATGCCATAAATGATGTGAGAATGGACCTACCAGTGAGGACCACGTTGACGTCATCCCAGTATATGTTCCGAGCATGTTCCCGTCCCTCACTTGAGTGGACAGGCTGCTTGAAGAATTCGTATTTACAGTAAGCAGGCTTACATCTGAAAAAGTAACGAAATTGATCGAAATTAATATGTTTTCATATTTCTGTTTGTCAATGGTTTATCTTAAAAGAAGATAGAGTAATTTATAAATAGAATTTGAAAACAAAACTGATACCAAAAACTTTATCTGACAGAATTTGTGGTATGTCACACAATTCCTGTACCTTTGATGATTGCACAATGCATTGGTGTTCACTAATTACAACACGATTTTGCCACAGGAAAATATGGTGAAAAACAATTAATCCTCTGTTATACAGTTACAGATATCTTATTCCTCGGATAAGATTTCTAAAGTTAAGCACTCAGTACAGCTGCCTCATGCTTCCTGCATCACACAGAATAGATTCTAATCTTAAAAACAGGCATTAGAGATACACGGTGCCTTGTCTCACCTCATTTTGAGTTCCGGGTAGGTGATTGGAGAGTCAGGTAGGTTGGTACAGGAGTGAATCTTAATGATCATTGGGTTGAGCTCCAGTCTCTGTTTCTCGGACATGATCGGCCCGTCCACTTTAAGACTTATAAAACAGTCCTCTACGCCCATTACTGGTTCAGTGAGACGGCTTGTTATGCTCTTAACACCTGTAATCAAGGTCAGAAGTCAGGTGTAAAGACAATACTGATATGTAAATCTCAGCACACCTGTAATCAAGGTCAAAAGTCAGGTGTCAAGACAATACTGATAAGTAAATCTCAGCACACCTGTAATCAAGGTCAGAAGTCAGGTGTAAAGACAATACTGATATATAAATCTCAGCACACCTGTAATCAAGGTCAAAAGTCTGGTGTAAAGACAATACTGATATGTAAATCCCGGCACACCTGTAATCAAGGTCAGAAGTCAAGTGTAAAGACAATACTGATATGTATATCTCAGCACACCTGTAATCAAGGTCAGAAGTCAAGTGTAAAGACAATACTGATATGTAAATCTCAGCACACCTGTAATTAAGGTCAACAGTCAAGTGTAAAGACAATACTGATATATAAATCTCAGCAATGTATATATATGAATATACCATTTGGGTTAGGTTTAAAGAAGTATGGATTCTTGACTAATATTTAAGACAGTGATGTTAATATACTGACAGTACCTGTGAAGAAGTTAGCCATCCTGACTGGAATCATACATGTTCCAAACTTGAAGATCTGTTCAGCAGCCTGCTGGGCTGCCTGGTGGGCAGCTTCAGACTTTTTTTGTCTCTTTAATCTTTGGACTTCCTTCAAAGCTTCAATCCTGGACCCTGCACCATGTAACAAAATCAAACAACAGCATAATTAGTCCCCACCTAAGCATACATGTATCTACTGAATTTACTTAATTACGGTTATAGATTTCAATTGTAAGATGGTACTACTCATGTTTGTCTTGATGCTCAAATCAATATTGTATTGTTATCTAACAAAAATACTGCAATAACAACACAAATCCATATCTTGTAATTAATCTGTATTAATATCGACTCATAATTTTCTGACCTCTGACCTATTTCTATCTGACCCTGACCTCTGACCCCTTATAACACCCTGCATTTCCTATTCGACCTAGGCCTCTGACCTCTTTCTTCATGACCCCTGACCTACCTGCCGATTCTGCTGACTTGACATTGCGTCCCGAGGGTGATGCATTCTTATCCTCTTTTGCCTTTTTTTTGGATGTGTGTGACTTTTGACTCATTTTGTCAGAACTCATCTTACTGTGCACCGATTCCCTACCCCTAGGGGATGAGGATGGTGCGGGGTCCGCCCCAGCGAGTCTCCCCAGCCTGCTGAAAGACCCTCTGAAAGGACAAAATAACAGGAACATGTGATGTATTAATAGAATCCATCCCTGATGTGAGGTGTGGAAAAGGTAATTCAAAGCCCAATGGATAAAATATTGAGCAGGAGACCCGAGGCTGATTCTATTTCTTGCTTATTACCTAAACCCTGTAAAAACCGCTGCTCTTCCAGTAAAGTTGTAAACCGTCCACACCTTTCTCATTAGCATATGAAGCCAGGATGACAATTGTTAATGACATCAATGACCCCGACTGACCCCAAAATGTCATAAAATGATGTCACGAACAAATAGCGTGACCCAGAAAGGTCACTATAATTCCCCCGCCAGTCTGCGCATGTAAGCGATCCAGATCCGTGGGTTGGATAGAATTTTCCAGCACCGCTAGAAATGCAGATATCTTGGTCTATAATTTACAACAAACATTGATATAAACACATTATTTATATGCTATCAAGTATTATTATTTGCTTGAAATTTTCTCGCAATCACATTGGCCGGATCCTATACACGTGACCAGTCCTCAAAAACTCATGTAGACTGGTTACCCGGTGAATATCGATTTCTAAATATAGCCTATATGGAAATTCCCCGGAAACTGTTGTGGTGCATGCGCAGTTAGACCGGAACGCAATATGTCAGACGAAAACAGAAGATGGCGTTTGTCGAACTCTTCGCCTCCGTTACATCTGAAAAGTCCCAAACTACTCGAAGATAAAGGTGCTGGTAACATAAAAAGGACACCGAAAACAGTGCGTGTCCTCCATGCTTACCTTAGGCAAAAGAATCTTAACAATGTCTCCGAAAACCGAACAGTTGGATTCAACCCTGGCTAAATTTTACACGGAGGCTCGTTCAAGTAAATGTTAACTATATAAAATCTTATTGTTGGGGCATATAATAATCAGTTATGGTTTTTTTGTGCTGGTGAATATGATGTGATATGAACCTCGGCTACGCCTCTGTCAATATCACTTTTTCAGGTTCATATCACATCATATTCACCAGCACAAAGGTTCATAATTGTATAATGAATTATAAACCAAATTATTCCTACCTGCCATCCTGTGAATCCAGTTTCTTGTTGGACACGCCCACTAGAGTTTTGGGGGTTGGGGACTCAGCTCTGCCCCTCGGAGATGGTGGTTTCTCAGCATCATTCTTTTCTGCTGCGAATACAAGATATTTAAAAGACTATTCAAAACAAGAAATATCAAAAAAGACGTAGTGTCTTGTTGCTTTCATGAATCTTATCATTTTGCTTTCATCAGACTTATAAAGTGAATTACAACAATTCAATTTTTTTACCAATTTTCAAACAATTTATATCATGAGTATGTGCTGATATAATTACATATATCTGTTTACTGAGATCATACAGATTTAATTAAATTTTACTTTTTTAAATAATTACATACATGTGTAATTACAATATTGTTTAATGATTACATACATGTGTAATTACAATACTATTTAATGATTACATACATATGTAATTACATTAGTGTTAAATGATTACATATATGGGTAATTACATAAGTGTTTAATAATTACATGCATATGTAATTACAGTACATCTTGATGATTACATACCGATATAATACATTATCGAGTACATAATGATGTAATTTCATGAACGTTGAATGATTATATATTGATGCAGGTATGTTACTTTTCTCAATGGTAAATTACATTCCATGTATAAGTTTAATGTGAAAATTATGAATTTAAATTGTACTCTACAGCTCTTACTATCGGGAGATAAATCTGTGATAACCAACCTTCTTTCCGTTTTGTACAAAAGGTCACTTGTGTTGGGATGGCACGGGTATCTTGGCATTTCTTGGGCTGCATTTTTGTGTAACTCTTAGACTGACGTAAAACTATCCCCTTCACTCCTTTTTTCTCCTCCTCACCTGTAAATTAGAATGCAACAGGTACAAAATACCTGACTTGTTACCAAAAAGTAATTTAACCCTAGGGAGTGGATCTTCTGACCCTGGGGAGTGGATCCTCTGACACTGGGGAGTGGATCATCTGACCCTGGGGAGTGGATCATCTTACCCTGGGGAGTGGATCCTCTGACCCTTGGGAATGGATTATCTGACCCTGGGGAGTGGATCATCTGACCCTGAGGAGTGGATCCTCTGAAACTGGGGAGTGGATCATCTGACCCTGGGGAGTGGATCCTCTGATACTGAGGAGTGGATCATCTGACCCCAGGGAGTGGATCATCTGACCCTGGGGAGTGGATCATCTGACCCTGGGGAGTGGATCATCTGCCCCTGGGGAGTGGATCCTCTTACCCTGGGGAGTGGATCATGTGACCCTGAGGAGTGGATCCTCTGAACCTGGCGAGTGGATCATCTGACCCCAGGGAGCGGATCATCTGACCCTGGGGGGGGGATCCTCTGACCCTTGGGAATGGATAATCTGACCCTGGGGAGTGGAGCATCTGACCCCAGGGCGTGGATCATCTGACCCTAGGGAGTGGATCTTCTGACCCTGGGGAGTGGATCCTCTGACCCTGAGGAGTGGATCCTCTGACCCTGGGGAATAGATCAACTGCCCCTGGGGAGTGGATCATCTGACCCTGGGGAGTGGATCATCTGACCGTGGGGAGTGGATCATCTGGCCTTGGGGAAAGGATCCTCTGAACCTGGGGAGTGGATCATCTGACCCTGGGGAGTGGATCATCTGACCCTGGGAAATGGATCATCTGACCCTGGGGAGTGGATCCTCTGACCCTGGGGAATGGATCATCTGACCCTGGGGAGTGGATCATCTGACCCTGGGGAGTGGATCATCCGACCCTGGGGAGTGAATCATCTGACCCTGGGGAGTGGATCATCAGACCCTGGGGAGTGAATCATCTGACCCTGGGTGGAGATATAGCCTGCCTGACGTGGAGGACATGGTAATTGTATCAAGATTATTCACAGTATTCGCAGATTACATAGCACATGTATAAGATGAGTACAAGTGATATCAACTGCTTTCATTGTCTTTTTTTGTTTCAAATGTTAGCACTATACCATTTAGGATATTTTTTATTGTTGAGGTATAGTACATACTTCTTGGACAAACAAATTGTGTCAATTTACAGAGACCATATCTTTTACTGTATAATAAATATATATATACATGAACATGTCTTAATTTATGATTACAATGTATTGTTAAATATAAACGCAATTCATTATTCTGATGGAAGGGGTGAAATAAACAGCGGGTGAATAGGGATTTGACTAGTGTAGGGTGAAAGCTTGACTAGGTGAGAGTTTACTGGTATACATTTTTGCATATATAGTTTTTTGCAATTTAATGATATTTTTGGGAATGTTGCCATCTATAACTTAAATCGTCAGGATAAGGTAACCTATTTAACCATTTTTCTATTATAAACAATCATAATATGTACATGATGCTGTATCCACAATAATGGCTGAGAATATGAAGACAAAAATAAAACTTGGTAGTTTAAGTATTTAGTCAAACAACAAGGATGCCTGGTCGTAGGTCTTACTTTGTATCTTTATTTTAATTGAACAGAAAACTAGACTAAGTGACAGTTTCACCTTTGTGTGCAAATATTTCATTCATCATCATGCATGGTCAAAATTGTGCAAATTTCTAAGGAAACCCATACAGGTCAAATTACCACAACAAACACCAGGAATATCACCTACATTCTAACATCTCTACACTACTTGACCTCAAACATACACCAGTTTGTGTGCATACAAGTTGTATCATAAAAGTATACATCTGTTGTGTCATACAAGTGTACATCTGTTGTGTCATACAAGTGTACATCTGTTGTATCATACAAGTGTACATCTGTTGTGTCATACAAGTGTTCATCTGTTGTCATACAAGTGTTCATCTGTTGTGTCATACAAGTGTTCATCTGTTGTGTCATACAAGCGTACATCTGTTGTGTCATACAAGTGTTCATCTGTTGTGTCATACAAGCGTACATCTGTTGTGTCATACAAGTGTACATCTGTTGTGTCATACAAGTGTACATCTGTTGTGTCATACAAGTGTACATCTGTTGTGTCATACAAGTGTACATCTGTTGTGTCATACAAGTGTACATCTGTTGTGTCATACAAGTGTACATCTGTTGTGTCATACAAGTGTACATCTGTTGTGTCATACAAGTGTACATCTGTTGTGTCATACAAGTGTACATCTGTTGTGTCATACAAGTGTACATCTGTTGTGTCATACAAGTGTACATCTGTTGTGTCATACGAGTGTACATCTGTTGTGTCATACAAGTGTACATCTGTTGTGTCATACAAGTGTACATCTGTTGTGTCATACAAGTGTACATCTGTTGTGTCATACAAGTGTACATCTGTTGTGTCATACAAGTGTACATCTGTTGTGTCATACAAGTGTACATCTGTTGTGTCATACAAGTGTACATCTGTTGTGTCATACAAGTGTACATCTGTTGTGTCATACAAGTGTACATCTGTTGTGTCATATGAGTGTACATCTGTTGTATCATACAAATGTACATCTGTTGTGTCATACGAGTGTACATCTGTTGTGTCATACAAGCGTACATCTGTTGTGTCATACGAGTGTACATCTGTTGTGTCATACAAGTGTACATATGTTGTGTCATATGAGTGTACATCTGTTGTGTCATACAAGTGTACATCTGTTGTGTCATACAAGTGTACATCTGTTGTGTCATACAAGTGTACATCTGTTGTGTCATACAAGTGTACATCTGTTGTGTCATACGAGTGTACATCTGTTGTGTCATACAAGTGTACATCTGTTGTGTCATACGAGTGTACATCTGTTGTGTCATACAAGTGTACATCTGTTGTGTCATACGAGTGTACATCTGTTGTGTCATACAAGTGTACATCTGTTGTGTCATACGAGTGTACATCTGTTGTGTCATACAAGTGTACATCTGTTGTGTCATACGAGTGTACATCTGTTGTGTCATACAAGTGTACATCTGTTGTGTCATACGAGTGTACATCTGTTGTGTCATACAAGTGTACATCTGTTGTGTCATACGAGTGTACATCTGTTGTGTCATACAAGTGTACATCTGTTGTGTCATACAAGTGTACATCTGTTGTGTCATATGAGTGTACATCTGTTGTGTCATATGAGTGTACATCTGTTGTGTCATATAAGTGTACATCTGCTGTGTCATACAAAGTTACAAATAACTAATCCAATGAACTAAGATAAGATAGAGAATACAGTTGTGCTAAAACATGCCAGTACATTTCTATACAGGACTGAAGTCTAAAGGTTTATTAGTATGGTTTTGAATTTAGTTGAACTTGACTGATGAGGTTAAGATCACATGATCAGAACTTGAGTGTTGAGGTAAAGATCACATGATCAGAACTAGAGTGTTGAGGTAAAGATCACATGATCAGAACTTAGAGTGTTGAGGTAAAGATCACATGATCAGAATGTTGGTAGCTCACATGATCAGAACTAAATTGTCCAGATAAATCACATGATCAGAACTAGATTGTTGAGATATAGCACAAGATCAGATCTAGACAGATAAGGTTAAGATCACATGATCAGAACTGAAACTATTCAGTAGATTGCATGAACAGATCTGGACAGATAAGGTTAAGATCAAATGATCAGAACTGAAGTGATGAGGTATAGATCACATGATCAGAACTGAAGCGATTCATTAGATCGCATGATCAGAACTGGACAGGTAAGGTTAAGATCACATGATCAGAACTGTAGAGATGAGGTATAGATTACATGATCAGAATTAGACAGATAAGGTAAAGATCACATGATCAGATCTGGAGAGATAAGGTAAAGATCATAAGATCAGATCTGGAGAGATAAGGTAAAGATCACATGATCAGATCTGGAAAGATAATGTAAAGATCACATGATCAGATCTGGAGAGATAAGGTAAATATCACATGATCAGATCTGGAGAGATAAGGTAAAGATCACATGATCAGAACTGGAGAGATAAGGTAAAGATCACATGATCAGAACTTGAACAATGAAACGTAGATCGCATGATGATTCAATACCATATAATGATGCTTCCATTATCAGTTGAATTGGAGGTGTTGTATTTACAAGTACTATTAGTAGCTAAGAGTTGGGGTCTGGTTATAAATTTCTTCTCTATATGCATAATTTGATGCTTAGGAACCTTTACACTCATGCTGTGAAACTACTGCAGGTTGATGTAGGCGTAGTTAAGGAGTGTGAGGGGGGGTGATAATGTGGTACCATCAATGTACAATGACAGTGACAGGTAGCATTATAATACATTACCTTTTGCCGAGACTCACAAATATTACTCTTAATCTTAATTTGATATACTGAAAAAATTGATGTTTTCGTGTGTGAAAATATTTATGATCATGATTTTTTTTTTAGTAAATAAGCGAGAAAATGTCAACACGCAAAAAAATATTTATAGATTATACAGATTATAGACATAAATAGAATATATATAGATCTAAGGACTATGGCCAATTCAAAAAAAATCACACTGCGATCATTGTATCTATAGGGTCACAACGCGAACATTTAAATAAGTGAAAATTTCCACTATCAAAGTATACGTAGCTAGATATATCTTTTTGAGGGTAAAACTATCAATAAATAACCCTGTGAATGATACTGGTATCCAGACCGAACAAACATGCAAACATCACAGAGACAAAAAACAGCATGCAAACAGACCAACTACTTCAGCTAGAGAAGTTCACAATATTACAGTAAACATCCTAGTGATCATCCTCCCGCGCGTGCCAACATTTCACAACCACAAACTTAACAAAAGATGCAGCATACTCATTTTCATGAAATTCTCTTTTTCGTCATATTTCATAGCTTGTTCTGAAAGAGAATTGTGTCAGTAACAATACCACGCATGTTAATAATGTAAATAACACAAAATGATGAAGCAGTTTCAGACTAGGGTTTCTGAATTATACCATATTAAAGAAAGAAAGAAATTATACAGACACTTAAAAGATAAGAAAATATAGTGAGTACTAGTGAACAAATTAATTATCAAGTCAACATTTACATATATATATATATATACAGTAACACCTTGTTATACTGCCACAAATTGTCCAGAGAAATGATGGCATAATAAAGAGGTTTGGCATAAAATTGAGGGAAATGTATAAAAGAATTTTTAAGAAAAAAAGAAAAAGGGCCCTCAAAATTTCTTGGAGAAACAAAATAAAACAATATTGAGGTTTTACTGTATTACATTTCTGTCAAAAAGATATCACAGCAAGAAATGCAACTCGATTTAGTAACGTTTATTTAGTCATATATTGGTAGTTCTAGTACTAGTATTCCTGTTAGTAACATTAATTAGTAAATATATTAATTGACACAGAAAATACTTGGGATTAGATAAAACCTTTTTACTGTACAATGGTGAAAGGGTATATTAAAACCGGCGTTGGAGGACCCTTACCTGGTTTTGTGGAGGGAAGTTTGAAGTTGAGAGGTCGATCCCATCTGGCACTGGTGCTGAGTTTGCAGTTCACTTTACTGTTTGTCTTCATCTTGTCTGTCTCGTCCCAGATCCTCAGCTCGACGGTGTGGTTAAACAGCTTCATCAACAGATCTCTGGACACATTGACAGTGTTACTGAAATAGTAACAAAAAAGTAACATCAGTATCAGGTCACACTGACAGTGTTACTGAAAAAGTAACAAAAAAGTAACATTACTACCTCAGGACACATTGATGGTGTTTACTGAAATAGTAACAAAAAAATAACATCACTATCTCAGGACACATTGATGGTGTTTACTGAAATAGTAACAAAAAAAATAACATCAGTATCTCAGGACACATTGATGGTGTTTACTGAAATAGTAACAAAAAAATAACATCACTATCTCAGGACCCATTGATGGTGTTTACTGAAATAGTAACAAAAAAAATAACATCAGTATCTCAGGACACTTTGATGGTGTTTACTGAAAGAGTAACAAAAAAGTAACATCACTATCTCAGGACACATTGACAATGCTACTGAAATAGTAACAAAAAAATAACATCAGTATCTCAGGACACATTGACAATGTTACTGAAAAAGAAACAAAAAAGTAACATCACTATCTCAGGACACATTGACAGTGTTACTGAAATAGTAAAAAAAAAATAACATCAGTATCTCAGGACACATTGACAATGTTACTGAAAAAGTAACAAAAAAGTAACATCACTATCTCAGGACACATTGACAATGTTACTGAAATAGTAACAAAAAAATAACATCAGTATCAGGACACACTGACAGTGTTACTGAAAAAGTAACAAAACACTGAAAACAGTCACATGAAAAAGTAACATGAGTTTCTTGGGACACATTGATGGTGTTTACTGAAATAGTAACAAAAACAGTAATATTACTACCTTAAGACACATTGATGGTATTGATGAAGTAGTGACAAAACAAGTGACACAAATGCCTAAGGAAACACTGACAGTGTTACTAAAATAATAACAAGACAAGACACATTGTATTGGAACAAGTCTCGCTGCTGTCTCAGCACACACTGAAGGTGTTACTGAAATTATGAATAGCAAAACAATACCAAATCATTACAGAAACAGACAAATCATTACAGAAACAGACACAAAACAATACCAAATCATTACAGAAACAGACACAAATCAATGTTACATTACAATTGCTACCGGTACATACTTTTCAATCCAACTGATCCAGGTGAGGTCGCCTTCCTGCCAGGTTCTAAGCACTCTGGAGTCGTGTTCTGTAAAGATCTTAACAGCAGGTCCATAGGAAACCACATCAGACTTGATAAGCTCATCCTCGTCGGGGAGGAGGTAGTATTCGAGGTGGTACCACCTCTGTGGCCGCGGTTTCTCTATCATCCTCTTCTCCTTCTTCACCATGTCCTTGATGTCGGGTTGATCCTCATCTAATCGACAAGGGAGATAACTCGTTTAATGCCGATATATTCAGGCTATAAAAATTACATTAATGGATGCTCATAAACATAGTTGGAAGGTTTGTCATACAAATGAACACTTTGAAATGTTGCATGAATTTGATACATGAAATGAAAATCAAATCTAATAATGTAACAACAACATAATGATGATATATAATTAATTAAAGACATTTTGTACAAACATATAAAAAAAAAAAAAAAAAAAAAAAAAAAAAAATGATATTCTGTAAACCTACAAGTGGAAACATTACATTTTTTTTCAAATATGGATTATATTAAGCTAACTAATGACATTTTACAAACATTTTATTTTTACAATTTAGAAAAAGAGTTGACAAAATTCTATAACCAGGTGCTGACAACACAATAATTGTGTTTTTATGTAATGAAAGATTTCGCTAACTTATTACAATTATTAAACCAAGATCAGGGCCCTGTTGTCGCAAAGGTGGTTAGCTTAATCAGTGTTAAGCGCAAATCTTAATTTTTGTGTAACTTAATTAAGACACAACCATTGAATTCGTTAAAACTTTCCAAATATTAAGTATTTAGTTGAGTGAACTCACATGCAAAATTGTGAGATTTTACCTTGTATATCGACAAAATTATCAAAGGTTGAAAAATGTTGTTAAACTGTGATTAAGCTAATCACCTTTTGAACATTTGCAAACAAGGACAGATAAACTAATGACATTTTAACAATATGAGTGGATACTAGTAGATACATCTAGATTTGTATCTATGATATTTAGAATATTTGGTGACATTTCATAAACAGAGGTTGATAACAAAATGATATTTTGTAAACAAGGGTAGATAAAAAGTACGATTTTGTAAGCATGAGTACAAACAAATCAAATCTAAATATAGTGACATATCAAAACAGTATTAACCAAAAATATCTTAGTTATTCACTTTCTTTTAGCAGAAACTAATAGTGCTAATTACATATCCTGTTTTATGACCTTGGATGAAAGTTGTGTCACAACACCCTGAATATATTAATCACGTATATATGTGTGTGTTTCATTGTGAGCAGGCAACATCTTTGTGACTAAGTTAACTCATTCACCCCTGAAATTTCATAATGAACAATTCCAACCTTTGAATTGGAAGAGTTCAAATGTGTCTTCAAGGTTAAATGAGTAAGAACAAAGTGAGCTTAAAGCGCGTGACGGTGTAAAGTGTAAACACCTTGCCCTTTATTATGACCTTGACCTTGACCTTTTGTGTACAGCCCTGACATTGTCCCATAACACTGTGTCCAACTATGATACATACATCCATGAATTTCTGAGAAAAAACTGCATAAATTTTATGATAATTCATAGTTTGGACAAGCATTACAAGAATTTTACATTTGACCACTTGCTGTGACATCAAATTCTGTGATATGGATGTGAATGTGTTCAACAAAAACACTGACTGATCATGAGAGGTACCTGGCACTTCTATAGAATTCAGTTTTCATAAGAAAATATGAAAGCATTCGGAAGGTATAGTCCATAAAACCATAATACAATGATTTGACCTTTGACCATCTGCAATGATTTCGACATTTGGGTACACACTTTGCCTCTGTTCATGGTGCACATATGCATGTGATTTACAATGATTCGACCATTGACCCCTTGCCCTCAAAATTTGACCTTAGCAAAATTGAAGGCATGCATGGGGCTTGCTTACCTAAAAACCCTGACCAATTTCTAGACCATATTTGTCCTTTTGAAGATTAAAGAGGAGTACCTGACACCCGAGTTACACTACCCAAGATTCTTTTGATGTACATCAAAGGATCAATGTAGTCTTCTTGTCTCATCCACAAGGTGATGCACACTGAGCCTTCGATTTTGTCATGACATAATCCAGGGGTGCAGAGAGGGTACGTAAGTGAGGGTAACCCCTGGAGTATCGGGGATGCTGTCAGGGTAACATGTGTGACATTGGTTAAGGTTCAGCTTATAATGCTTTAAAGAAGATGTGGTTCAGACAAGATGTTGTTTAAAGAAGGACACACAATGTTTCTTTATACTTCCTTTACTTTGTGAGGGGGAGGTGGGGGCGAGGATAGAAAAATGGCTAGGAAAAAATAAAATAATTTGACAGGTTTTTTTTGCAACTTGATCATAATGAAAAACATCTAATTTAAGAATTGTAGTTGCAGTGACATGCATGTGACTGTGGTGAATTAAGCTATATGACATATACTTCCAGCAAAACTGGAGTGAAACTTGTACCCAGTGCATATGGGCAAATGAGGCACAAACACAGACAGTCGAGTTTTTATTCCTGAAGTATCTTAACAAGTATTAATGTAGGTTCCCTTTTACAAACCTTGGAGGAATATTTCATTTGAAAATGCAAATATAATTACTCTCCCAGCAATGCTTGTGATATAAGCCGATGTCAATTTTACAGAAAGCATTTCAATTTCATACTTCAAGAAATAAAAACATTACAATCAATAAAAATGTTGATAAGATGTGGAGATATAAATGAATTCATTTAAACATTACGGTAATCGTGTTTTGACAAAAACAAAAAAGCAGAGAGGGGGTCATTTAAGGAATGAAAAGCGATATTAATCTGATATTATATGTGATATATTGGTTATCACTCAGATGTGTTATAGTACGTATAGACAATTCCTCTCATATTGTACAAGCTACATGTTATCCAATCACACACATCTAAAAAGGCTGACAAACATTTGTTCAATCACACAAATAACTTCTACAACAAAAGAAATTAATTCATAAATGAAATTTAAAATAAGATACTAAAGGTAAAACTATGATCCCTGGATCTGTATGTGTTAAATATGGCAGTGAGGGGAACTTATTCCACAAGCACACAAACTAAAATAGAACAGGCCAATATGCTGAAATTACGGTCGACTACATCAGACTAATATTCTTAAAATGTGACAATCACATCATGTCGGTGCAGACAACAGACAAGGCGTGGGGTCCTACCAATGGTGTTTTTAGAGTTAGCCAGAAGTAAAAGTCGGCTATAGGGCCCTGTAGTAGTAGTGCTCGGGGTGGGGTTCACCACACTGGAGCACTCCGACATATCTGAAATATACGCATGTCACGACACATTTGCTAATTATCATTCAAAATTTGTTGTGAATAACAAATAAATTTAAACTTTGTTTCAGACAAATTACTCTGAAAGAAAAGAATAAACCCTATTAAAAATGTTAGATCACATATAATGTTATGATAATTGAAAAAGTCAATATATATACAAGAAACTAAGAAAATTAATAACTAAACTTAATACTTTATAAGTAAATTAATAACTTAGGCTTCCGGGTTCCTTAGAAGAAGTTTGTTTAAAAAGAAAACGGGTTGACACTAAGGGATGAGAAATAGACATAGCACCACGGCACTGTATTACACACATGATCATAGATGTAATACAGGTTGTCAAGCTTTGATCAAAGTTTAAGATTTTCTAAGTCTTCCATTAAACACATCAACAGTCTCTGATCCCAGCCACCAACTGGTAAAATATAGTGACTCTAATTACTTTAACAGTTAGTCAAGACCATACACATTATTCTAGCATGTTTCAGTCGTATTATCATCACTCTAAGCAATATGGTTCTTGAGAAGAAGTTTTTAATACACCTGTAACTAGTGCAACCCAATGACCTTGAAAGTGAGTCATTGTCATTCTTTTGAACAAACTGATAGCACTGTATACCAATTACAGGGCAAATATCAAGATTCTAGGCCTATTGTTCTAAAGAAATTGAAAATGGGAAAAGTTGATGAAAATGTTGAGACATCACATAAGCTAAGAATGACCTTGACTGAGTAAACTAAATAATGGGAGAATATTATCATTAAACTAAGGTAGTTACAACTCCCAAACAGTCGTGGGCATTAATACATTTGTTTAAAAATCTTTCGCAAAACATGGCCACAATGATTACTAAAAGATTGCATGTCACAATAACTACAAAAAGACAATGTTAATATTCATACAAAAACCGGACACTTGACCTGTGTTGTATAAACGAACAATAAAGCAACAAATCATAGACAAAAGTCAACAAAATAATCTCTACAAATAAATGCAATTATAGTAATTCCTTATTTGAGTTTTGAAAATGTTTACCTGTTTAAGTGGAAATGTCATGAAAGTGTCATAAAAGTGCCGTGTCAATAAATATAGCTCCAGATACTCCATGATCTGCATAACACTTTCTCAATATGATCTCTCAAATCCACCTAAACCAACACCGCCTCACAAATATTGCCATGTGAAAATGGGGGCATGTTGGATTTGTAAAAACTGCCTCAAGAGAGTCTGACCGAATTCAACTACTTCCTTAATTCCTCATAAGGGTGCACGCCGAGAAAGTCTTGTTCTCCAAAAAGTGAAAGATGTTTTGTAGTCCTACTGATGGCTTACAAGTGTCCGGAAAGACGGGACAATATCCAGACAATCTGGAGAACAATATTCCGTGGAATCAATATGCATGGCATGTAACTATGAGAAAACGTTCTTGTAGGAAAATCAATGATCACGATCACCATATGAATACAAATAAGCTACCAATGCAATTACTGTATTGATTTGTGAATAATGTTAGGGGATCCCAAACTGTTGAAGTGTTTTCCAATGTTCTAGCGTTGCATGTGTTGCTGAATGGAGCTGTCACACACAGCTTCAGGCATTCACCTATCACTGGAATCTTCACACCAGACTGTTACTGGTGTAACTTAGATGGCAAGAAATCATTTATCATCTCCTGACAATCAGACCCTCTCTCTACTGAAAATTAGACCCTCACCTTATGGACAGTTAGCCCCTTTCTTCATTTACAGTTAGCACTTCTCTCTACTGACAACCAGTCCCTCTCTTTACTGACATTGACTCCATTTCTCTGTTGGCAATCAAGCCCCCATCTCTACTAATTTAACAATCAGCTCTTCTCTCTACTGACGATCATCCTCTCTATACTGATAATCAGTCCCTCTCTCTGACAATCAGTCCCTCTACTTACAATCATTCCCTCTCTATACTGACAATTAGTCCACCTCTATATTGACGTATAGTCCCTCTCTCTAGTGACAATCATTCCCTCTCTATACTGACAATTAGTCCCCCTCTATATTGACATACAGTCCCTCTCTCTAGTGACAATCATTCTCTCTCTATGCTGACAATTAGGCCCCCCTATATATTGACATACAGTCCCTCTCTCTAGTGACAATCATTCCCTCTCTATACTGACAATTAGTCCCCTTTATATTGACATACAGTCCCTCTCTCTAGTGACAATCATTCCCTCTCTATGCTGAAAATTAGTCCCTCTCTCTACTGATATCCATTCCCTTTCTAAACTGATGATTAGTCCCTCTCTATACTGACATTCAATCCCTTAATACTGACAGTCAGTCCCTCGCCCTACTGACAATAAATCCCTCTCTGTACTGACAATCAGTCCCACTCTATACTGACAATCAGTCCCTCTCTGTTCTGACAATCAGTCCTTGGCACTACTGACAATCAGTCCTTGGCTCTACAGACAATCAGTCCCGCTCTGTACTGACAATCAGTCCCACTCTATACTGACAATTAGTCCCTCTCTGTACTGACAATCAGACCCTATCTGTACTGACGTTCAGTCCCTCTCTATACTGGCAATAAGTTCCTCTCTATACTGACAATCACTCCCACTATATACTGACAATCAGTCCCACTCTATACTGACAATCAGTCCCACTCTATACTGACATTCAGTCCCTCTCTATAATGGCAATAAGTTCCTCTCTATACGGACAATCAGTCCCACTCTATACTGACAATCAGTCCCACTGTATATTGACAATTAGTGCCTCTTTCTACTGACACTACTGACAATTAGCCCTTACCCTACCGATGACACCTGTGTATACCTCCCATAGAAACTGAACACTATGATAGGCCCAGCTTTTTTATAAAGGTGTTTTTTAATACATCAAAGTCATCCAAGTAATATTCAATAACAATAATTGTTTTTTTTTACATTAAGATACTGTAAACAACAAATAAAAAGTTGGAACATATAGGGTTGAAGTCTAGTACATATGTATTACCTATACATGCACATTGCATGCTTATTTACATTACCTGTACTTACATTACCTGTATATCTGTTACATCATCAGTTAGCTGTACTTGCATGGCTTGCTAACGTTTTAACCCCTCCCACCCCTCTTCATATATAGCTCTGTGAATATTTAAGCTAAGATTCACCCGCAGATCAATACCAATACTGGACTAAACAGTTCAATACCAATACTGGACTAAACAGATCAATACCAATACTGAACTAAACAGCTGTGCCAGGTAACATAATGGCCATTTAATGGAAAATGACAGAACAATTTTCTCCGGTGAATGATTAATGAGATAACAATAGGGACTAACATGCAATCTGATGCTGTTAATGATAACCGTAGCCACTCGTATTCCCTATCAGCTACAATCAGCTACCCGTGTCAGCCATAATGGCCTTCCAGCATGCAACCATTTATTACAAATACAGCCATGCTGCACCGCCGACATTTTTAAGTGGTACCAGTGGGGACACCTATAATAATGGCTGAATGTCACTTATCACTTTACATGGTATAACAGACAATTGTAATTGCAGAAAAGATCCTACAAATGATATTTGTAATATCAGCAAAAATACATCTAGAGATCCATTTAAACATATTGTTTTACTGCAAATTTCATTTTAAAATTACTGCCAATGGCAAAAACAATTTATATATTCTGATTTCATATTAAAATGAAGTAAACATTATGTTTTTGTCATGTATGTATTATTGCTGCAGGAACCATAACTCAAGGTCTGGTCGAAATTTTTATTTTGAAATATTGGACTATTCGATCATGATTTTTTTTTTAAATTTGATTTTAGACAATTTGATTATCATTTTTTTTTTATATTTTGAAAGTTTACATTATTGGACCAATTAATCAGATCTTCAGCTACAGTTCTCCCAGCTAGCGATGTCTCGTAAAATATACCAGGACATTTTGAAAGGAATTTAAACAAAATGAAACAAGCAGAAACTGCAATAAAGATGCATACATTTCTAAAGAACAAGTAAGAACTGTTGGTTAAACAAAATTACATATATGCAAGTCCTTAAATGTTTTCTACTGAAACTATAAGCAGCATAATTATAGTTTGCTTAAACTACAAAGTTAATATTGTAAATAATTAATGAAGGGGTTATCGAGTACAAACGAGTAGTGTAAGAAAAGTAGGTATTGTTGTATGGAGGTATCATCTATCTACAATATTATATACACCAGGGTTTACAGGTACAAAAAATAACAAACAGAAAGTTAACCAACTTGATTTAGATATATGTGAACACCTACCATGAGCATGAATGGCTGAAATTGAATGGAGGAAAAATGGAAAACGTCGGTCAGTTAGTATGAAAATGAATAAAATATGATTAGAAATTAACACTTGAACATGCAATATTATGTACACAACGTGTGTTTTAGATGTACACAGACCTTAACATGCTGGATTATAGAAGGTATCGGTGATATACTGTTAAGGTTTTTTGCGGGTTTCTAATTTTCACGATTTTCGCAGTAACATTTTTTTCAAAAAAAAAACAACAACCTGTAAAATTATTAAGAACTTAATACATCCTTATCATAGCACCATTTGCCATGGTCACTAGACCTGACAGGACTTTACCCAGGTCATTTTTACTATCGGTATTGGGTAAACTCCCCTCAGAAATCATACTTAAATTTTCCCCTTTTTCAATCACAGTTTTCCCCTTTTTCGATGCCTTCCCCTTTAAACAAGAAATATTCCATCTTAAGTCTACGTCTATAAAATAAACTGATTGTCAAAGTCAACTGTTTCTTCTGCTCCTCTTCCAAAGGCCTCGCTGCATACATCAGTTTTTTTAATCATTAGAATGTTTGCAATTGAAGGGGAATTTTCTTCCAGAAGTGAAGCCCGTCCCCCTCTCCTATTCTCCCCCTGGGTTCGGGCCTTCGGCACACACTAAGGTGGCCTGCGATGGGACAATTTTCCCCTCAAATGGAAAAAGGGTAGTAAAAAAAAAATCCTGTATAAAGCCCTGTCTGAAATCTGCAAAAACCAGATCCCGCAAAATGGACCAATTAAGCAAATTTGTGAAAATTATGGACCGAACAAAAAGAGATTTTTACAGTATATCAAAACCAATTCGACATTCTTCAATTCATTATTAGGGTATTTTTATAAAATGTATTAAAATATCATGCTTTTAGATAATAACTAGTTATCATTGATAACATTGTCTGTATCAAACCACCACAATTATGCACCCTGTGATATTAAATTAAGTTAAAGTTTCCTTCCAAAAATGTGTGCAGTGTTAACCTTTTTTAAAAGCTCTGTCAATTAGAACGTAAATATTGATTCATTATCAAGATTAGATATCAAACTATGATAAAATGTGGTGAATTAGAATTGTGAAAGTTAAGCTGTCGTATGTGAAGTTGTTGATGACGTTCACCGATACATTTGGATCTGCGTGTCTCACCTGTTGGAACTGCCATTGATATAGTCACTGTTATGGTCACGATATGAGTGTTAGGATCAACGATCATTTTCTTCTTCCTCTTTCCCTTGGCCGACACAAACACTCCCCGGGAGTCACTGCTCTTAGGTCTATCTGAGCTTATCGGTTCAGCATCAGATGGTTTACTGAGCAGTTCATTTTGAACAGTATCAGCTGATTCCAATGCTTCCTGTTTGTTTTCATTGTTTCTTTTTTCTCCGGCAGTTTCATCCTGTTTGATTTTCTGTTCACTGTCTTCTCTTGGAGATCCAGCACCATCTTCTGTCACCGCTTGTGGTAGGTTTGTCGCCAAAGGTGGGTCTGCTGCTACAGGTGGGTCTACCACCACAGGTGGCCCCTGCTCCGTATCTGCCATGCTTTTTTTCTGAAAAAGGAAGGACAGCACTTGTTATATCAGTTTTAAAATATCCAACTCTGTTCATACCAAAGATGTTTTCCACATGATGCAAATGAAGTCTTTCAACAAACCATTGTCCCCACTGAACATACTTTTGTACAAAAATGAACAATATATACATGTAGTAGATCATCAATCTTATTTCAGTATGAGTCACTCTGCGTTCCAAAGTGAAAGTCTCACACGAAATTTGGCAATTGCAGGCAACATACTATAATATGTCTGCACAAAGTCATGGACAGTGAACAAAGACCCAATTTCAGTACATGACATGCCTTAACCCCAAAAGGTCTTCACGCACCCTTCCACTGCACTGGTGAGGACTGACAAACTATATAGCCCCCTCTGAAATTACTATTTCAAGTATTTGGGGATTGCCTGATTGACTGATGGGATTTAAACCTCTTTCCCCTTGGTAGTACTAGTACTGTCTCTGGCATTCCCCTGTGAGGCTGCAGGTAAATCTCTCAATATCAGTACGTAATGACATTGACATCCTTGGGGCACTATTTGAATATTAGCACTATCATTCCCTTGGATTTTTTTACATTTTGAATATCTTATTTGTAGAATAGTACACGTAATATTTTATCATTTGTTTTCATTACTTTTTGTACCTACATATGTATAATATCAATACAATTTTGTTGAAAAAATAACTTTTAATTATCACAATTTTATCATAGCGGCTTCACAACAGATGGTAACAAATAATATTAGTAAGAAATTAAACTCAGAATATGTTCAATAAAACTACACTGCTTAACCACATGGCCATTAAGAATACAAAGCATCAGACAAATTGAACACACATAAGATGCTAACAGATTAGGTGCAAATGTGACCACTGGGGTAAAATTTAGTCAGTTGATTTTTCCTCTAGATAAGTATTATGGTGGGGAACACAATTAAACACTGTAAAAAGATAATAATCCTCATGGCTACAGGGGTAAAAAGGTATTTCGGTGGCTGACTAATTTTTTCTGGATCTGTTTTTTCATGTTTAAAATTCTACAGACCCCACAGCTCCCTTCCGGCCCTCCTTCTGGTGTTTTAGTCTTCAACCCCACTTTCAATGGACTTGGCTAAAGCCATTAATCATATAATAGGAAACAAGCATACCAATCAGGTAGCACACCATCAAAAATATTCAAATAAATAACTGTTACCAACCAAATTGATAAACGTTATATCGATATTGAGCAATTTAGCATCAAATGTTCAGATTTTGATTTGACAGACTACATACAAAGCATGATTTATATATGACAGAGACAACCGTCAGACAGCTCAGACATACATGTCAAAGTACGATTAAATGTATATATCAACACATGCTTATGACCTTTTATGTTTTTTGTCGTAAGGAAATGCAAATCCGGTATCAGTTTTAAAAAACGAAACCAAAGAAATGTCAAGCAGTAGTCGAAATGTTGTGTATTGTGACACCCTACAAGTACACATTCATATTACATCTGTTTATCTTGAACGATTCCTACGTTAAGACTGCAAGTTTGCAAGTGAATGCCAAGATATAAAGCTGCTAAATCTACTTTTACTAACCAATTTTAACTTTTCTTCACAAACTTCATATTGTCTCTTGTCCCGTCTGTTATGGTGCCGAACAACACATAAACCGGATGTTGACACATCCGCAAACTAAAAGTGTACCACCCTTATTAAGCGGCATTTATCGCAATACATCGAAGTTCTATAAAACAAATCACGCTTTTGTTTTATCATTAAAATGTTCGTTAATACACTTGTAATGTTAGCTTCAACGAGTCTAATAATACAGACGGATAAATTACGATTTTATTGCGCGCAGCGATATCCCGGTTGGTGACGCGGCCTGTTGCTACAACAGTTGACAAACCGTACAGTATAGGGTAGGACGTTGACGGACACGGCACTTAATCGATAGCATGGACAGGGATGCAGACATCGTTAGGTCCTATGCCACCGACCGAAAACAATAGGGAGACCATGCAATCGATTCCATGTAACCGACCGATACTAAGGAAACGGCATATTGTTGAAATGAAACCAGTATTACAAAGCTATTTTTCTGACATGCATGGTTAGCTTGCAAAAAGAAAAAGGCAAGTTGATTACATTTTGACGTCACGGTTATACCTAAACCACATAATTTCATCTACGTCAATTTAGGCCTATGGTCACACATTACAGCACATGTCCGGTTTGCGACCTCGTCATCTACGTAACACATTAAATAAAAGAGGGGTGGGGGTAATGTGGTTAGTTAAGTTAATCAGTTCAATGTAAAGTAAAAGTTTTTTTCAATAATCCACATCACAGACTTAGTGTCCACATTAATCATTAAAAGTTGTTGATTTTTTGTCTAATGGCAATTTTTTTTTTTTTCAATTCCAGAAACAAGTATTGCACTGGAAAAGGCAAAAGTTTGCTAAGATTTTCCATATTTAAGCACATCCTACCTTATTGTCACTATAAAGTGATGTTACTGTTGGACTACATCATTATTACCTGCCACATAGTTTTAGTTTTTAAAAAGTCACTGTGGTGGAACTAAGAGACATCAAAACAAGAGGAAAGACATCATGAACTCCCATTTTATAATTTGAACTTAATTGATTTCACAATGATTCTGAAACAAGTAATTTCAACTTGCGTTAATTAATCACTCTTGTCGGCCTGGATGAAAGCGCGTGGAGGTAAACGGAGTAACCGGAGGAAACCGACGTGCTCGCGCAGGTGACCCAATACCTTAACACGTCCGATCGGCCCGTAATCGGTCGTCTTGGTGAAGGCGAGTGAGTTATCCACAACGCCACCCTGATTGATTGATTGATTGATAGGTTTTACGTCCGCTTCACTACCGCGTATTTCGGTTATCCAGCAGACGGAGAACAGAAAGGAAAATGAGTAGAAGGGATAAAGTATGGAGTAAAAGAGTAGAAGAGGGGGAAAGATTGGAGAAGGGGCCGTCTATCCTATATATATTAACTGTATAAGTCTAGTTTTTGTAAGACGGCTCCTATGCCTAATAATCCCTTAACCTAACACTCATCGTACAGCATCACCAAGTCAGGACCGGAAGTGAGGTACTGTGCCGCCTCCAGCCACACCAGCCCTTGCCTATTCTATGAATTTGGTTTGTGTATAAAATTTGGAAGTCCATTAGGGGGGTGTAATTAGTGTTATAGTTGGGTTATAACCTGGATGGGGACTGGAGGGGATATCGATGGAGGTTGAAAGATGTGCTGGGTGTCAAGAGAAGTGTAGAAGGATTTATGGGTTATATTAAATGCTGGTAGTCTGGACCGGAGTGGTGTTGGCGATGGTTTGTGGGAGGGGTGATAGGTTGATTGGTTGGTTTGTGTGAGGATATTTTAGTGGTTGTTGTGTTTACTTTGATGTTCATTTAATCATGTATACACGTATATATAGTATTTTACTCTATTTAGACATAAGAATAGACTTGGGATCGCTGCTGGGTAGGCGAACAGACCTATTGGTCGGAACTCCCGGCCTGAGGTCGGAACGAAGACGTTACAGCGTTCTTCTGTCTATCCAAAGATCAGAACTCTATAGATATAGTTGTATTATAGTCTCAGTTTTTATTTTGAAATTTATTTATTTTGTTTTTTAATGTTATTGATAATTTTTGTTCAAATATTGTAACTACCCCATGTTTGTTGATAAATAATTAAATCTTGTTGGATCAACTCAGATTTAATTATTCCTAAATTTCCTTACCTAACATTTTATAAGTCCAGAAGCACAGCTGGCCTTCTCCTCATACCCGCGTCAACTTAACTTAAGTCACGCCGATTGGACAAAAGGACTTAAATGCATGAGTCTTTAAACAGTTCATGGAAGCAGAGTTATACTTGAGGACAAAAAAGGGAGAATTCGTTTATCTTTAGAATAGACTTGGGATCTCTGCTGGGTAGGCGAACAGACCTATTGGGCGGAACAAAGACGTTACAGCGTTCTTCTGTCTATCCAAAGATTAGAACTCTATAGCAACGCAACCCGACCACTCATTAGTATATATAGTAAACTATCGTGTAAAGCAGATGAAGACGAATTAACGTGTAATACTGGTGTAATGAAAATAGTTGGGTTATAACCTGGATGGGGACTGGAGGGGATATCGATGGAGGTTGAAAGATGTGCTGGGTGTCAAGAGAAGTGTAGAAGGATTTATGGGTTATATTAAATTCTGGTAGTCTGGGCCGGAGTGGTGTTGGCGATGGTTTGTGGGAGGGGAGATAGGTTGATTGGTTGGTTTGTGTGAGGATATTTTAGTGGTTGTTGTGTTTACTTTGATGTTCATTTAACCATGTATACACGTATATATAGTATTTTACTCTATTTATACATAAGAATAGACTTGGGATCGCTGCTGGGTAGGCGAACAGACCTATTGGTCGGAACTCCCCGCCTGAGGTCGGAACGAAGACGTTACAGCGTTCTTCTGTCTATCCAAAGATTAGACTCTATAGGTATAGTTGTATTATAGTCTCAGTTTTTATTTTGAAATTTATTTATTTTGTTTTTTAATGATATTGATGATTTTGGTTGAAATATTGTAACTACCCCATGTTTGTTGATGAAGAATTAAATCTTGTTGAATCAACCCAGATTTAATTATTCCTAAATTTCCTTACCGAACATTTTATAAGTCCAGAAGCACAGCTGGCCTTCTCCTCATCCCCGCGTCAACTTAACTTAAGTCACGCCGATGGGACAAGAGGACTTAAATGCATGAGTCTTTAAACAGTTCATGGAAGCAGAGTTATACTTGAGGACAAAAAAGGGAGAATTCGTTTATCTTTAGAATAGACTTGGGATCTCTGCTGGGTAGGCGAACAGACCTATTGGTCGGAACTCCCCGCCTGAGGTCGGAACGAAGACGTTACAGCGTTCTTCTGTCTATCCAAAGATTAGAACTCTATAGCAACGCCACCCGACCACTCATTAGTATATATAGTAAACTATCGTATAAAGCAGATGAAGACGAATTAACGTGTAATACTGGTGTAATGAAAAATGGATCTGCTATGAATCTGTTTACAATGCGCGCGTTACACAACGACAGATTGACGAACTTTTTAATTCCTTTAAATTCAACTAAAATCGAATGAAAAATATTTCTCATCGGGACATTTTCATCTTAACTCTGTTGAAATCAAAATAAACTGTATGAAGACGGGAGTTTTGAACCAGATTAAGACGACTGGTATACTCAGTCTTTGAGACGTGATTTAGGTTTAGAATCAAGAATTGTGGCATGCAGTATGGAAACGGATTTTTTTTACGAGAATTTTTTTTTCGATAATGATTGACTTTCAGGATGCTCCAGAAATAATTTACTTCAGATTTTCACATGGAAAGCAGTGTCACAATATGGTTGGTGTGTTAACGTACGTTTTGATCGTCTGACCTTATTCACTGACCTTCACAATATATTAGAAGTCCGACTGTTTTAAACCCCTCGACTGCACCTTTTAGGTTTTGTTTTATTGGTTCCAAGTATACATCGAAACCTGTTGCATTGAGAGGGTACCGTATGGAGAATTTCAAACCGCAGGAAGTACAATATCAATAGGTTTAAACGTAAAGTAGACTACTCATTTACAACAATGATTGAGATGTTGTTCGGAAGATGCTTTTGATTCAGAATCAGCGCCTGTAGAGGCTAGGTATATAAAACGAGAATTTACTTTCTCTCCTCGGATGGAAAGAAATTTTTGTTAGCTTGAAATTCACCGACAGCTGTCGCTAAAACATATGGTTGTACAAGTTAAGGATTTCTTCATTACTGATCAAAAACGCAAAGAAGGCATTGTCTCTTGTCAATTTATCAACATGAATTGTTCATAAGGAGTATCAAACTATATTTTTATGAAGAATTTTGTGACAAGATTAACAAAAACTTACTTCACTAGATTGTCCCTTTAAAACTTCTTTTCGAATGTAGTCCGTACTTTTTTTTAAACATATTTATTGCCAATAAAATTGAACAAGGGATTTGGCACAAGTTATTACAGCCTTCTCCCGTGATTTTAGGTATATTAGGATCAATTTTCCCCACCATTAACCTACCAAATGATAATACATTGAAAGATACGTAAACTAACTGTCCTAAATGGTCTAGGCCTAAGTTATTGTCGTGATTCTGGACTAGGCCTTGCATTTAGTCTGCCAGTATGATAAAACATGTCTTAAATAGTATATAAATTTTCTGAAAATAGACACATTTTCTCTACTCTAACGCATGAGTTAAAGATAAAAGCATTAAGTGCTTAAACCGCTGGAATATATTCCGATTGCACATGTATCGTATTATAGTAACAGATCGTATTTTCCAACTGTCTCATTTTACAAAATTGCACAGATTACTTAGAATCATACAGGAGTCGTCTCCCTTTAACTTATAAAACCACAGCTCGTCAAATTGCGATTACAATAGGAGCATTTTAGTAATGTTTAACGGTGAAACAGAGTAAGCAAATACTTTTTTTCTCTCTAAATACACTTTATTTTTTAACAATGTATGTGTATTTGGTCAAGCTGTGACTTTACGTCACCACCCCAGCGGTAAGTACCTAAACACCATGCAGAAATAATAACGCTCATTATATGGCTACTCTTACTTATGAACTAACAATGTCAGAAAAAACGTGTTCATTCATCATAAGTCATCTTGCATTACATTCATAGTACAATGAAATGTTACTGTAAGGAAATCAGATAGTTGAAGTTTTTGGCAAGGTTTAAAAGCAATTTTATATGAAATGACGCTGCAAAAATAGCCTATTTATGCAACGTCATCATTATCTAATCGAAACTAGATCTATAGTTTACAATTAACAACTGACAAGGTTTTATTCTGCCCACCAGTGTAGGACCGTACTAATAACAAGCCAAGCGAACATTTAATAAACAAAGAGGGATCGCAAAAGTTACGCCCTCACCTGAACCCGCCCCTGTACATCTTTAAATGAAATAGAGATAACTTGTAAGGTCATTGGAGTGTAATGATAAACGGAAACAGGAAGTACATCCCTAGTTGAATATCCAATGTAGGGAGACAGCATCACAATTTCCGCAAATTCTAATGTTTAATATTAGATTGATGAATATTGTATGTTTATTATTGACAGAACAGTGTCCTTAAAATTCTGACAACCTATATTTTTTTGTGGCAGAAAATTTTCTTTACTTTAAAGCAATATAACTACAAAATTTGAAGAGATTCTACTGAGAAATGGTGACACAATCCTATTACCTTAAATGAATTTAAGATTTCGTTTAAGATAAGATTTGGCAATAGAAGATAATCTTTAAATAATAATAGATATCTCTATAAGAAATAAAGGTATCTTTAAAAAAATTGATTAATTAATTTTTTAAATGAATAAAGTATATCATTAAATGAAAAAGAGATATTTCTAAAATAATTGAAAAATTCTGTAAATGTAATAGATATATTTTAATGAATTAAAGATATCTTTAATTTAATGAATGATTAACTTTAAATAGACATTTCTCATACATAATAAGGATTACACGAGATTTCTCTTTTGTTTGTTAAATATTCTAAAATAAAGATGTTATTTGTTCGGCATTAAGGATACATGTCCCGCTGCTTCAGGCAAAACATAAGGTTAAAGCACGGACTTAGATAGCAAATCTTATTCCGTGGTTTACCGGGTAGCTCATGGTCGGTTGTATAACAATCTGAGATCCAGGGCTCCAACATGGTCTAGCCCCGCTGAATTTGTATACTTGCAACACAGGGACCTGAGATTTGCTGCAGCTATACTTGGACCTAAACTAAGGAGTTAACATGTTTTAGAGGTTTAGATTGACTTTCGGTAAAAATGACACCCCAATTATCATATATTACCGAAAGTCGATCTAAACCCCTATAAAACATGTAAAATTACTCTGAACACTTTTGTTTAGGTCCAAATATAGCTGTAACAAATTATCAGGTCCCTGTGACTCAGAACACTGCTGTTGATTATATTTTGTTTATTTCGTCTGCATTAGCTTGTCATATAAATCACACAAGGTCTACTTTCATTTCAGAAATGATTTATATTATAAGTTATATTTATACCGGAGGAAAATAAAAGTTTCCGATGCGTAATTAGTTTTTGGCAATGGTACGAGGCTCCTTAAAAAAAATAAAGTTATAAAGTAAGGTGTAAGGTAGTAAATATCTTTAACTCTAGAACAAAACACATATATATAAAGTGTAAGCTAGCATATAGCCTTCAGTCCTAATACAAACCGCAGGTATAATGTGTAAGGTAGGATATACCTTTAACTCGATTACAAATCTTATGTATATAATGGGTAACTAAAGTAGTATGTCTGTTTAATTTCAACACACATTACATTTACACGTATATAATGGATTAGGTAGCATACAACCTGAAACTACCGTCATGATGTGTCCATAAACTTTTGCCCTTGGTCCGCTCAAACTGTTATTATTTAACCGGAATATGTTAAAATATAGCAAAAAACGATAGCATGTGTTGATGGAACTGCTCTTTTCTTTGTTCACGTTTTCATAGAAAATTTGGGTGAATTGAAAAAGATGGAAAAATTAAATAAAACAAGTGATGGAAAAAATAAAGAGAAAGCTGTTGCTCCTAGCTGTGTGGTTGATATCTTTGGCTAAACTTATTTTTACCGATTTTAATGAGATAATTAATTCACAATACTAATGTCCATCCTGTTCCACCATGTATTATTGCCACCCCATTTGTATATATGTATTCTCTACACTGTATTGTTTATGAGAATAAAACAATTGTGATTGTCACTGAGTCCTAATGTGTCCTATTTGATTGACAGGTACGGTTCGAGGACATCCTAGCGGAGCCTGATGGCGCACACAGCTTCAACTGTGTTTGGTCCGTCTCACAATCGTGCTTCATGATCACGACGACATTTTGCGCGTGCTGCATTGCGGCTGAGTGGGGATGCGAGTCCGCGTACATCGCCTCAATATATGTCTAGTACATAACGCCTATGTTTAAGGTGTGAGAGACCAACTGCGGCTGTCTCCAAAGACTCTACGGTATCTGTGTCCATTGCTGCCTCACTCCCGTCTGTGAGTCGATAGGTCTCTTCTTTACGGCATTCAAACGGAACTGACGTCATCGTGGTCGTTACGGGTCATGGACATAGGAAATTATATGTTTTTACGTTACTTGATTTGGATGTTCACCGGATCAGCAGTGAAACTGTTAGAATTGTAAAAGTTTAAAACTCAGACAGCTCAGACATACATGTCAAAGTACGATTAAATGTATATATCAACACATGATTATGACCTTTTATGTTTATAGCCGTAAGGAAATGCAAATCCGGTACCAGCTTTAAAAAACAAAACCAAAGAAATGTCAAGCAGTAGTCGAAATGTTGTGTATTGTGACACCCTACAAGTACACATTCATATTACATCTGTTTATCTTGAACGATTCCTACGTTAAGACTGCAAGTTTCCAAGCTAATTTATTTTTACCGATTTTAATGAGATAATTAATTCACAATACTAATGTCCATCCTGTTCCACCATGTATTATTGCCACCCCATTTGTATATATGTATTCTCTACACTGTATTGTTTATGTAGCCCCTTGCCCCTCAAATTATAAGACGACAGGCTTGGATGTTTTATCTTGTTTATTCCCGTAGGAAAAACCTGTAATATTAACAAACGAATACAATAGATACATTTGATAACACATTGACCTGAACTTACATACCTCGACATGAATACAAAGACGCGAGTATACAAGACGGTAAATTACAAACGTACAATGACAATGTGAACATTACAGACAGACTTACCAGGGCTGATACGGATGGATGTTGACTCCTACGAGTCCTGAAGAGGAATGGCTGGAGAGAGTTGGGTTGGGACGTGACAGGACTCCGGTCTGCCCGTGCATTCCGTTTATACTCCTCACCCCATTCAACCAATCATACGCACGCACGTACATACTGACATGTATTTACTTATGTAAGAATGACAATGTTATGCACGTGATAGATGATGTGTTAGTGCAGTGAACCTAGTACACATGGGGTACAGGGTTACATGGGTTACACACTCCCCCGGTTTGATGAAAGCCTCCTGGCGCTACATAAAATCATATTAACATTTATTACATAGGTTATTGATTATATGAAAACTTATTGCACTAGTAACAATAACACATTATCACTGTCATAAAACCTGTTGCCTCGCTACCCACAAGGTTTCATTAAACAGTAATAACACGACCAGAATTATGATGTATGGACTATACAGATATAGAATGTACCAAAAAACGAGTAGATTTATTAACAAAGATCTTCCGCAATTATGGTAAAGAATATGCTTATATGCATATATTATCTTGTATAATGTAGGTCACCTTTACAGGTGATCTATCCACACCAGTGAATACAAATTCACTATAACTATATATAGGACACCTGCAGGATCTTGACAACTATTTGCACATTGTCACATAACGCTGCATAAGGGTTGGTCCAAATAGACATCCTCGACACCCGATCCATTCAATGTAGATAATGATGATACATGCTTCTGCAAGCAATGGGTTTTCTGATCAACGAACTGAATGGTTTGGCCAATCCATACCAATCCAGCACGTTGATCCAAACACATTGATGATATGATGGTAAAACAATACTGGATGATATGTATAAAACATTATATTAATAACTATACTTGTAATGAAATTGCTAGTCACCTGTTTAGGTCGTCCCTGAGGTTTGGCCTATCCATACCATCAAGGCTATAGACCATCACAGATCACGTTAAAAATACTTTAAAATACCTCAAGGAATCACCTCGACATATGTTAAAAACAATGACATGGATTTTAAAAAACTAGTGTTCGGTGTTGATACAACTTCTTGTTGACAGGTTTACATCAGACTTTTGAATGACTTTGCAGGAGAAAAACCCAATGCCCATACAGATCAGGTGGTTTACGTACACGTCCTGTACGTCTAGGTTCTTGAACCTCAGGACCACCTGGATCCGTCTGATGAGAGCTAGGTGAGCTCAAATCAAGGCTTGGCACAGACTCCCGCTCTCGCATAGAATTATGAAGCCCTGACTCAGGCTCATGCACACTGGAGTCACCTGTAGACTCCAGTAACTCAACTAAGTCAGAACTTTGACCCAGCTCACTCTCAGTGATAATGGTAATTGGTTCGTATCGAGTTAACGGTGTCTCATGTGCAGGGGTTATTCTTTTCGTCCTGCGTCGCGTGGAACGCCTCGGGTTATAAGGGGGTGATAACTTAGTCTCCATGCTGGAGTCTGAAGATGAAGATGAGGTTTCAGAGTCTGTCTGAGCGACACAAACTGTCCGTTTCTCACGTCTGTCCTTGCGGTCAGACGCTGTAGGGGGAACCTCCACCGGAATGGAGTTGAAAGGAAGCAACATGTTTCTATGCAGGGTACGTTTTCGTCCCCTTGCACCATCATGTGCAACTTCATACACAGGAATATCACTGTTGGGGATGTTAATCACCACACAGGGTTCCTGTTCCCACCTATCGGCCAACTTGTTTTTACCCTTGAGCCCTACCTTTCTTACAAGGATACGGTCTCCAACCTCAAGCTTTGAATCCCGAACCTTCCGGTCATACCGGGTTTTGTTCTGTTCGGATTTCTTCTTAGCTTCATTTCGAGCTGCCTTATACGCCACCTCCATCCTAGTCTTAAGTTTGCTGACATAGGAGGAGGGATCTACTGTACCCTGCTGTCCAGGGTCAGTACCCAAGAACGCGTCCACTGACAACCGGGGGTGCCATCCAAACATGAGGAAATGGGGAGAGTACCCCGTGGCATCACTCCTGGTTGCATTATAGGCCTGGACCATCGGTGCGACATAAGATCTCCAATCCTTTTTCTTGGACTCATCAAGTGTGGCTAGCATACCAATGAGTGTTTTATTGAACCTTTCCGCTGACCCGTTTCCCATCGGATGATATGGAGTGGTTCTAGATTTCCTAACCCCGGCCACCTTACAGAGTTGTTTAATGACACCACTCTCAAAGTTACGGCCCTGATCACTATGTAGCCTTTCAGGAAAACTGTAATACACTATAAATTTCTCATAGAGAGCTTTGGCTGTAGTGTACGCCTTTTGACTCTTACAAGGCACAGCTTGGGCATACCTGGTAAAGTGATCGGTTATCACTAGAATGTTTTCAAATCCGTCAGACGACCTTTCTAGACCGAGAAAGTCGATACACACCAACTCCATCGGTCTAGTCGTCTGTATGGGTACTAAACCAGCGGTAGGTTTGATAGGAGATTTCCTTCTTATGCAGCGACCGCAGGTCTCAACCTTTTCGTTTACATCTTTCTCCATACCTGGCCAGTAGAAACGCTGCCTAGCCAACCAAAGTGTTTTCTCCTTTCCCTGGTGACCAACATCATCGTGGATACCCCTCAGGGCGAGGGAATGGTACTGCTTTGGAAGGACAAGCTGTTTGATTTTCTGACCGTCAAGAGAAGCGGTTCTTAACAGGACACCGTCGTGTAAACTCAAGGTATTCCAAGTTCTAAGCATTTTCTGGACATATCGAGTTTCATCCTTGAGCCGTTTCCCCCTGGGATTAAAACCGGTTCTCTTCAGGTGTGAAACCCGCGCAATATCCGAGTCCTGACGCTGCTGTTTCACCCAGTCAATAGTCGCAAGTTTATCCGTTGACTCTGCACTCTCACTGGCCAGATAAGGCACAGAATCGTCAGACACACTTTCCGCTAGTGGGGCGACAATGACTGCTGATTGGCATATAGCCTTGACAACGTCAGTACTAACCTGGGATATGCGTGAGAGACCGTCCGCGTCAGCGTTATTTTTCCCAGCACGATACGACAAGGTGAAATCATAATTTGCAAGAGCAGCAACCCACCTGTGGCCGGTGGCATCCAGCTTGGCTTTTCCAAGCACATAAGTAAGAGGATTGTTGTCGGTCACCACTTCAAATGAATTACCATAGAGGTAGTCATGAAGTTTGTCCGTAACTGCCCACTTAAGTGCAAGGAATTCCATCTTATGTGCCGGATAATTCCGCTCACTTGGTCGTAGCCCACGACTAGCATATGCAATCACTTTCTCGCCATCTTCATGTTTCTGATAAAGCACAGCGCCTAGTCCTAGGCCGCTGGCATCAGTATGGAGGATGAATGGCTTAGTGAAATCAGCATATGCCAGAACTGGGGGATTCATCAGTCTCTCCTTCAAGGTCTGAAAGGCGACCTGCTGGGACTCTTCCCAGACCCATTCAGCCTTTGCCTTAGGTTTTTTCTTAGATTTAACCTTCGGTTTGACCTTAGATTTCTTATGCAGATCATGACCTTGCAAGAGTTGATTCAGGGGTTGTGCTATTGCAGCGTAATCTTTGATAAAACGCCTGTAGTACCCACTGAATCCTAGAAACTGACGAAGCTCCTTTACATTCTGTGGTCGTGGCCAATCTTTAACGGCAGACACCTTTTCAGGGTCCGTAGCTATACCGTCTTCAGACACGACATGCCCCAAATATGTCACAGATTTCTTAAAAAGCTCACATTTGGAAGGTTTTAATTTCAGGCCATGTTGGCTTAGTCTGGCAAAAACCGATTCCAACCTAGTCAAGTGCTCGTCAAAAGTACGAGAGAAGATAAGGATATCATCAAGGAAAATGAGACATTCTCTCAGATGCATGTCACCCATACACTTTTCCATCATTCTCTGAAAAGTAGCACCAGCATTACAAAGACCAAACCCCATTCTGTTAGTCTCCCAGAAACCCAGGTTACCAACAGAAAAGGCTGTTTTTTCTTTGTCTGCTTCGTCCATCTCGATCTGCCAGTATCCTGATCGAAGGTCCAACTTAGAAAAGTATTTTGACCCAATCAATGTGTCTACTGTGTCATCGAAACGTGGCAACATATACGCATCTTTACGGGTTCGCTTATTAAGCATGCGATAATCTATGCAGAATCGTAATGAACCGTCTTTTTTTCGAACCAGCACAACGTTCGATGAAAAAGGACTGTTTGATTCCCTTATCACACCCGCTTCTAACATTTCCTTTACGTGCTGACGGACCTCTTCGTATATACCGGGTGGTACCTTACGATACGGCTGTTTAAAAGGCCGGTCTTCTAAAAGCTCAATTGTGTGCTTCACGAGGTCCGTGCATCCTATATCAAAAGCGCTGGTGGAAAACGCATGTTTCCAATTCCCTAGCACCTGACGCACCCTAAGTAGTTGCTCATCACTAAGGTTCTCAGTATTTATCTGTATCCCAAGCTCTTCAGGAATTGATTTTGTTGCCTCAGTAGCTGGCAGGTTTGAAGCCAAGTTGTCAACGACCTGTACCTGATTTACTGAGCAAAGCAATGATCTCGGTGATATAATGATAGGCTTAGCCGTAATATTACAGATTTTAACCGGGATCTTCACGCTTGACACATGATTTTTAAGTTTGAGAACCCGTGGGCAAACTGTATACTTTAGGTTGGAATAGTCGAAGTTGTTTTCTGTTACTATGTTGTCGATTTCGGGATCTAATCCTCTGACCATACCGTTAACTACTGCAGACTCGTACGGAGCAACCTTGAAGGGTTTACGGTTAATGGACCGCACACCGTACGTGCATGTTATGCTATCTACAGCGGTTTTCCACATGGCTGGCATTTCTAACTCCTCTGATGAGTCTTTTACAAGCCTAATCACATTTGTACCCAACAAAACAGGGCACTTTTTGTTGTAATCCGTATCCGGCACAACTATCGCCAATATACTAAAGTTTGTTTCTCGCATAAAAGGTATTTGGACATCACACTCTATAAATCCTAAATAATTCAGAGCAGACCCATTTGCCACAGTGATATCCAGACCTAATAAACTCAGATCATTCATCTCTGGTTTATCTTCTAACCTGTCATAGAATGACTCTGCTATAGTGGATACCTGTGACCCACTGTCTATAAGACCTTTGACTTTTTGACCTTGAATGTAGACTATTCCTTCGTTCGAAACACCTAATAGCCTATCCAACACATCCGCTTGGCCATTTGATTGTTCACCAGCCTCTGGTTGGCCTACAGCAGAGACGGTTATTCTTTTGGGCTTTTCTGATTTTTTTTAGATCCATGGCCTTGATACTTAGAGTTTCCTTGCCCACGACCTTGACCTTTACTCTGACCTTGACCCTTACTCTGACTTTGACCTTGACCTTTGTGGTATGACTTTTGACTGTTTAGTTTTTCAAGTATTTTGTCAAACTTAGAGTCAATCTGAGAGACAACCTTCTCCTCCAATAGTTTCAACTTTTTGTCAAAGTCTTTCGAGATGTCACCTACGCTCAGTTGATCAACCTCGACTGAAACTGCTTGGTGCTGACCTTTTTTCTTTTGAGTAGTGTTGTTGGCCAATTCCAACTCGCTCTCCACTGTCCTGATCTCTCGTAAGAGTGAATCGTAATCAGTCAGGGTATCATACTTGTGACGAGTTTGACTCTTTAATTTATCAGAGTGTAGTGATGTCCAAAACTTATGCCTAAGAAGATCATTTTTGGCGGATTTTGGTAATGACCCATTCTCAATCGCGATTTGCAATACTTGCTCTAATCTACAACCAAAATTGGTAGCTGGCTCATCAGGTTTTTGTTTGGAGTTAAAAAATTCTTGCATAATCATGCCATGTGTAGCTATATCTCCAAATAGAGCGTCTAGCTTGGTTAAAATCTCCTGTGGAGTGGCCTTCTCTCCCAAATGAACCAATGTCCTTCTGGCAACACCCCGCAATGAGCGGCGTATTGCCTGAACCACCGTACTCTGGGATAATTC